CAAATTAAAATCTTTATATAGCATTTTTTATAATTAACTTTGTTATTATTTATAGTAGATAAAGAATTTATTAAAAGTGGAGAAAAGAAAATTATAAAATTACTATTATTATATATTTTATATTAACAGTTTGTGTATATCTGCATCAGATAGACCTGTACCTGTAAAACAATTTTTTTTTACAATTTTATATAACAAACAGCATTGTACTTATGCATTTGCATCTTTTCTTAATATGCTTCTTATAAAAATTTATATCACGATATCAAATTTTATAATAGGTTTTAAAAATATTTTATATATAATATTGATGACTTGTATGTTCAAAACTTATTGAAACGTAGTAAAATTATATTGATTTAATAATGTTTGTTTATTTTCAACTTTATCCTACAGTTTTAATCCAATTTAAAAATATACCTTTTTTTCTTTCTATTTGAATATCTTTTATTTTAAATATATTTTTTAATTTTATTATTAAATATAAATTGCTATTATGTGAAAAAATATCTTATAAATTATTAAAGATATGCAAATTAAAAAGTTGTCATGTATAATACGATTTTAAAACAGGATGTTCAAATGTAGCATTGTTATAAGCAATAAATATTAATACGTATTACATGTCGCACAGCCAACATAATAACATCACATTATTAGTTTTAATATTTAAAAAAAATTGATCTTACACTAGACATAAGAAAACAAAAATAGATATAAATAGCACAATGTACATGGTTGTGCAGATCCTGACCTTGCAGTTTTACCATGAGTAAGTACTATAAATATACTTTATTGATATCAAATTAAACTTGGCCGCAATGTAAATACATTACTATGATTATTTGTCGCGTGAAGAATGAAATATCATTAATTTACGATATATATTTGTGTAATAAATTTCAATTGTATGCAAATATGTGTAGATATTTAATTTTGTTGCAATTTAAACATTTAAGATTAAAAAAAGTTGGAAAAAGACTAAAAGAGAAAGAGAATATACCAAAGAAACTTTATTTATAAATTTTCTGAATATTGCTATTTTATGAAAAATGAAATAAGAAATTATTTAATCCATATTTATGAATGTTTAATGTAATATACTTTAATTAGTCCTAATAAAATTCTAAATAGTACACATACACACACACACACACACACACACACACACACACACACACACACACATGTAATACATTTATGTAAATATATTTCTATATATATATATATATATATATGCACATTCACACACACACACTTTTGAAGTATCCGAATATGTACGTACGAGGGGTAAGCTGCTGAAACCTATCAACTGTCCACCGACATTGTATCAATTGATGCAACTTTGCTGGAATGCGGCGAAGAACAGACCGAACTTTACATTTTGTCTCAATAATATCATAATCCTAAGAAATAACACAGAAGACGCGATATTAAACTCAATGAATATTAGACATGCAAAGGTGAGTGGATCGTAAATTTTATGTACATATTATTTATATGAAATTAATAAATTTAGGAATTAACGGGTTGAAATTAATAAAATCGATATAATATGACTAAAAAAATATTACAAAATGATTTTTATTATTATTAGGAAAAAAAGCAATAACTTTTAGATATTTTAATCGGACTATAAGAGATTAAATTATAATATAGAAATATTAATATTTTTTTTAACACATAGGCATGAGAAATACTACAACAAGGTAACTCATAAATAATTTATATTTAATGTATTAAGAAGAAACTTTTTCGCAAATTAAATGTCAAATCTATAATATAAGCTTGTTTGTCATAATTATAACTTTATTTTCAATTGTGTTATTTAATTTTTTATTCTACGATATAAACATATTTTTCATATAGTTATATTGTTAAATTTTTTATATTGTTAAATTATATAATAATAATATTTGCATATTGTAAACTTTATTTTTATTTTTTCATGTTTTTAACTCTTTAATTCAAGAATATTACTACAATTATCAATAACTGTCTCAGCGATCACAAGTCAAATGATTTTTGTCCTAGTCCTGAAATACGTAGCCGCGTGCAAGAAGAATACTCGCGTCGACAGTTGCACGACAATCGGCAATCGGTCGAAAATAATAGACAGGAGACATTGGTATGGGTGAGCACTTCTGGTTGAGTCGAGCATACAAGACACAGATACAGTTTAGGGTCAGAGAAAGGGATAGAGCGTGCTTATCGTGCATCGTCTCCAGCTACCTCGCGGAATCTACCTTCTTCCTGCTTCTCTTCGCCCATCATCACTCTCCTGCCTTATCTTTCCCTCTTTTTCTATTCTCCTCGTTTTCTCAACTTCCCTGTACTGCAAACGCTTCAGCTGACGTTTGCGAAAAAAAACACAAGGACCTAACCCGTGTGTTGCGAGATTCGTATATATGTATGCGTCCCAACTACGTCGAGCTTTGCTAATCTAGATGGAATACGCGATCGAGTATCGTCGAAAGATGACTCGCATCAACCAGCAGATCTAATTAAGCTCGAGACTATCGCTTTACAAATATATTTTTGCCAAATGTTGTAGCTTCTTATCTCTTTTTTTCAATTTTTAGTAAAATGTATCAATTAATTGTATTTTTCTCTGTCTTAGCTTGCGCCTTCTGAACAGATAGAAGACTCGCTGGAAGTACAACCAACCGTATCTCCAAACATTTGACTGTCAATGATGCTTCAAGTGATGTCATAGAACCTTTGACGTAATCGCTTTCTTGACCGAGTGATTTTTGAGAGCCTCTGCTGGCACTTGTAATCGATTTTACTGTCGTTTCGCTACCGATAATTACTACACGATGTGATAATCTCTTTAATTATTGTTTCTATATTTTTATATTATAATCATCTAATAAATATATTTTATATTTAATCATCCAATAAAATTCTTAATAACAGATATTAATCTTTTTACAGCTTTTAATCTTTGTCTAGTTTCTTTATTTAACAAAAAGATCAATTAATTAATTAATTAACTTTTCTTACTTAATCGTTTTATTATGAGAAAAAAATTATAAAATTATTTTAACATAGTTTCTTTTATCATATGTTAATGAAAATTATCAAACAAGTAAATTTTTTTACCGTTTTATAATATTCGTATCCTATGTATATCTTGATATATTCTAAAAAATCTTCCCTTATTGCTTCTTGCACACATGTGATTTTGTTTACTTTTATTACGCGAAGAGAAATATAATGCAGGCAAGTATTTACGCATCTTAAAATCACGTGCAAGATGTAGCAGTGATGGTGATAGAATGCAATTTTGGTGTGAGGGTAATAGAATGCGCCAGGAAACGAATTGCACAAGGAGCATGTCGAGTGATGCGGCAATCCAGTATTCCCAGTGCTATTGCAGGCCCAATGACCTGATTGTTGCGGTTCAAAAAATTTGTCCTCCTTTTTCCGTGCTTTTTTACCAAGAAATAATTACTATTAATAAATAGAACTTTGAATATTGAACGTAAAGATGAAAGAAGATATTATAGAAGACAAAAATGAATTTAAAATAAAAAAATTCTATTTCTCTGCAATCTTGTGAATTTTAAGACACTCTGAATATGTAAAATATAGCTACGTATGAAAAATTTAAAACGAGAATAATATGCGAATTGATCTTGAGAGCTCTGCTTTTGAAAGTACTTAATTAAAAATGAAATAAAAATATAAAATTAATTATGTCAAGATATCAATAAAAACTGTACTTTCAATATAATTAATTGCGACATCGCGCTAATGAAATGCTCGTTAAATATATATTTACATTTTTTTATTTTTTGAATTCTTTTTCTACTTTTTATATTATTTAATTTTTTAATTTTTTCATAATTTTTTCTAATTTTAAAAATATATATTTTCCTCGTAAATCTCTCTCTGTCTTCCTTTTATCTTTCATATGCTTTCTCCAACTATTTTGCACACATCGATACGTATGTACATTCTCTCGATAAGTGGCCACTCGACACTGTACGAGTGAGACGAACACGTATCTTTCTATTCGTGGCACAATTTTCGGAGATCGATATATCGATCGGCATACTAGTGTCTTCAAATAGGGGTAGTTAGCGCCTTTCTCTCTGTCAAAGACTTTCAGAAGAACAGTGAGAATGAAAAATGAAGGAAAACATATTGCTTATCTCTTTTCATACAATTGCAAATCTTTTTAAAATTTTGTTAATATATTCGAGAATATATAAATATCTTATATATAAAGTGTTACATCTTTGTTGCAATCTTATTGCCCATCAAATGTGATAATCCTTGGCAAAAATATTGTGTATGTCCCTTTCATTTTTTTAATATCATATATCTTAATAACAAGCATGTAATTAATTTGTTCTATTTTAATTCAAAAATTTTATTTTCCGATTAACAAACTTTTTTTATATGTGTTTATAGAAAAAATTGCATTGCAAAATATTTAAGACAAGACGAGAGAGAACCAAAGAAAATTAATAAATTTGAAAGAAATTGTAAAATTTAATCGGAGATAAAGACAAATGATAAGATTGTAAATGCGCTTGGCGACTGCCATGCCAATAAATTTGAAGGATACAGATGTGGCGATGACGACGCTGATATGCCGCATTGGAGTTAAATTCAAGCGACGTAAACCAATGACACAGGCACGTCTTACTTGGGGGATTACCACCACTTCTCTCCTTTTTCCTCTCGGCCTCTCGATCCAACTCGCGATACTCCACAGATTCTATCCACCGCCTGTTCTCATGTACGTCATGGACGAGAGTTACCCCTTCTTTGCGCCAGTACTTGTTCCCTCTGTGCCTCTGTTAAGTGGAGGAGAAAGAGTTGGGGGGTTGACGGGAAGGTACGGTTGCAGGTCCACCACCTTTACAGCCGCCACCACTACCCGAGGCCACCGCCACCACCTCCATCGTCGTGGGGCTCGTGTCTATACGCAACGATGAGAATTCTGCAGATTTGACAAAGTCGTTTCAAGAACTCAGTCGCTTGCCTGTCCTCGTAAATTCAGGGTACCTATTAGGAAGCTTCAGCTTGCTCGTTCGCGCTCGTTCTCACTTCCGGATTATCTCGAAAAAATCTCGCTTCTTCTCTGCTTTCTCTTTTTCTTTCTTTTAGAAGTGACGTCTTTTTCTTTTTCCTTTCTCTTTCGTCTCTTTTTCGACTGAAAAATGCGTTAAAGCACAGCGAATACATCCATGGAGGAGATACATGAAGGCGAGATGTCTTCCGTGACGCTCTCGTCCATCTTGCTCCTTCTACTTTTCGGTCGCGTCGCGAATGCCCAGTAAGTAAACTGTGATTTGTGTCACATACACACACACATCATGTTTCAAAATTCATATTTCATAACCGAACAGCTCAAAATCAAAATTTCAAGGCTGATTTTTTTCGGTGAATATTATATCGCAAATCGGTTTTAAATTATTATCAATTTTTAATAAAAGATTAACTGTAAACAGAATTTAATATAACGAGATTGAAATTCTTGATTAATATTAAGATTAATTGATAAAGACTTAATATGAGATATATAAATCGCATACTTTTTCTTTTTTTGTTTTATTTTGTTTTATTTTGTTTCATAGGAAAAGTTTAGAATTTTTCGATCTCCTGCCGGAAGATCCTAAATTATATGATAAAATGCGACCTCCCAAGAAGGATGGTCAGGCAACCGTTGTACATTTTCATGTTACTGTGATGGGACTCGATTCCATCGACGAAAATTCAATGGTAAATATATAATTTTAGAAATGCGACTGATATGTATAATTATAAATCTTAACGTAAATGTATAATAAATTCAGTTGCTCGTTTTTAATTGCGACTATCGTAATCGTAAGACAGATTATATTTACAGACGTACGCCGCCGATATTTTCTTTGCCCAAACGTGGAAAGACAATAGACTCAGACTTCCAGAAAATATGACATCCGAATATAGGTATATAAATTATTATATATATAATCTTTTTAACAATTACAGCAATTTTTATTTTTATTTACTTTCTAGATGCTTTGTACTTACATATATATTTTATTTAAATTTTTCTACAAATTTTTGAGCAACTATTTTTAATTATATTTTTTTTATTTATTCTCTGTGATAAAATTTAAGATTATTAGAAGTTGATTGGCTGAAAAATATGTGGCGGCCGGATTCCTTTTTTAAGAACGCAAAATCGGTGACTTTTCAAACAATGACGATACCAAATCATTATCTATGGCTGTATAAGGATAAAACTATACTTTACATGGTGAAGTGAGTTTATAATCAATTATATATGTTTTCACTATGGATGTGTCTCGAAAACTTGAAATATAAATATCGCCGATTTCAGATTGACCCTAAAACTTTCTTGCGCCATGAACTTTTTGATCTATCCTCACGATACGCAAGAATGTAAACTGCAAATGGAAAGTCGTAAGTTATAATTATTTGTGAAAAAAATTTATTTTTTTTACTTTCGCCAATTATATCACATATGCATATACTTTATGCATACTTTGATTATTCAGAACACATATGTTTACTGTGTGACTCTGTTTCTTTATTATTTATATGTTTCATAAAATTATTTTAATAATTAATTTTTAACTCTATTCAAACGAGGATTTAAACAAACATACATATAATTATATATAAAAAAATTGACATTTTTAAACGGATTTTATAACGTGAGGATAAACTTTATTAGATGTATTAGTGATATGATACATTTAAACGCCATGCTATGTTTCACCCTAAAATCGAATAATTGATTAATAGTATCGCACACAACGGATGAAATGATCTTTCAATGGGATCCTGATGTTCCCCTCGTTGTAGATGAGAATATTGAATTACCTCAGTTACAGCTCGTTAAAAATTATACAGCTGACTGCACGCAAGTTTATTCCACTGGTAAGTGAATCACGTAAATGAATATATGTTTCACCTCAAAAGTAAAACTATATGTGACATATTCGATATTTTCGTACAATCATAGACGCTTTATCAAAATATGCAATAGGTACAGTTAATCTTTGCAAGCAATCATTTTTAATCAATTAATGTATTTTAAAAATATGTGCTTGTATTTCATACGATATATTCATGAGAAGTTTTTCGCCCATGCGTTAATATCACTTGAACTTTATACTTCAATATATTTTTTAAATCCTAAGTATATTAATCACACACATGTGATACTTAATTAAATACTTAATTAAAGATTACGTTATAATTTCATAGGTAACTTCACGTGTCTCGAGGTTGTGTTTGTGCTAAAAAGACGTCTTGGCTATTACTTGTTTCATACTTATGTGCCAACGTGCTTGATCGTCATCATGTCGGTGAGCAGAAACGCAATGCTCTCGTAATTCTTTCTGTCATTTTAACCAGGACATATATTTTTCATTAAAAATAATTGCCGACTTATCGCAGTGGGTGTCGTTCTGGATAAAGCCCGAAGCCGCGCCTGCCAGGGTTACTCTGGGTGTCACCTCGCTGCTCACCCTGTCCACGCAACACGCCAAAAGTCAAGCCTCGTTGCCACCCGTCTCGTATTTGAAGGCCGTCGATGCCTTCATGTCGGTTTGCACAGTGTTCGTCTTTATGGCCCTGATGGAGTATTGTCTGGTGAATATTGTTCTCGGCGACTCGGATGCATCGACAGCTAAACCCGCGCCACCGCCACCGCCACCATCCTCGAGCACCGCAGATTCGGCTAAGCTCGACAAGATTTTTGACATCGCAGCCAAGGTAATGCCTGGATGATATTTATTCCTAAAGAGCCACGAGATCGATTTTGACAAGTAAAGATAAGTCGTAATAATTATATTCACAATAAATCTAATCGTTATCGGCGTAAATTAGCCGATTTAAAAATAAAAATATCCGATAAAAATTACAGTGGAATTTTTATTAAAATGTGTGGAATTCTTTACGTATTAAATATATCAGATTTTTATTTGATTTTGTAATGAAAAACTCTTGCAATTTTTTCGCTATAATTGTTACAATTGACTTCTCGGCTCTTCTATTTCAGACCACTTCTGTGCCTCGAATAGAGGAAACGATGAAGACATCATTATTAAATAAAATTTATCTTAAATATATATTAACAGCCAACATGAAAACTACTAAATTATTTCTTAATGTATTATTTACAAAATTTACAAATTGTAAATGTGATATCTCAGACAAATGCATTTTTAAAAATATAAATATTTTATTTGAACTAATTTGAAATAAATTATTTGAACTTATATTATAATAAATCATTATGCAAATTATTTAACAAATAATTACATTAATTTGAAGAAATTAGAAATTTTTTCGTTATTTATAATTATTTTATATTAATTTATATTAATTTATAATTATTTTATAACGTTATGTCTTGTATGATTATTATCATTACCTTGATGGCTCTAATAGTAAAGTTACATTCCACTCTCCGAGGCACAGGAGACAGTCTGCACGGTTCAAGTTGTGATCGTTATCACGCAGGAAAACGCAATGTTGTTATCCTGCCGATCGCAGAAATCACCAGCTGGCCCACCGTCCGGACCCACCCCGGCCCAAAGGGCGCGAATACGAGCGCTGAACATTGATCGTTTTTCGCGTGTTTTCTTCCCCTTTCTGTTCACCGTGTTGAACGTCACCTATTGGATAATGTTTGCTGAATATATTTAGATTATGGTACTGCAAATTCTCACGGAAGATTGCATTACTACTTCGAATAAGTAGCGCAAGAGGAGAGAAACAGATAGTCCAGCAATGAAACTGGAAGAATTTGAAGCGCGCTAAAAAAGATAAAGAGCGAAAAGATTTTTCTGAAAAATCTATTATTATATAATATGATAAATGCTTTGAACATGATTAAGAATTTTATATATAAAAATGCAATAAGTGTCGCAATTTTAACAAAAATCAAAGGATCGAAGATATTATATCGATCTAATAACTCTGAAAAAGAAATGTCTAATTTTTTCAAATTTTGCTCTCTCGAATGTATCCTTTGCTTATTTCCTAAAGTAGATAATTTTATGACATCTATTATAATACGATTTTCTCTAATTGTTCGTTTGTTTTACCAGAATGATAATTCAACAATGATGTAACAGATCTACAAGTGTGATCTTATGTATTAATAATTCTAGAATAATCGCAATTCATAAATAAACAACTGCTACGCAATCGAAATGTTTTATTCATGAATTGCGATTATTCTAGTATTAACTAATTTATTAATTTAAAATTCGATTCGTAAATGTATTTGTAAATCTTTCCATCAATAAGTAAAAAATTCGTTTAAAAATAAAATTAATGATACAGTAAAGCTGCATATAAATTTAGAAAGTGACATCAACTATATTATGAATCAGCTGTTTTTTAGCCTCACACAGCCTATCACTCTATTTATCACACAAAATTATTTATACAATCAAAATGCAAAGGCCTAATAGAACATGCATAGATGTTATCGTTTTTTAAAATGCCTCGATTATTTAACAGCATATCTATTGTACAAAATAAATATTAATTTTTTTCATTTCTAAGTATCATCGACTTATCGCAACTATTTAAATTTTATATCATTAAAACTTGTAGTAATAAACGTTTTACTTACATCTCTATAGTACGTCTGTATTATTAAACATATGTATAATAAAAAAATTATGATATGTATTACTAAAAATATGTATAATAAAAAATTATGATATCTCCAATCATATCAATAAAATTTTCTTTTAAAATATTACGTGATAAAAATATTCATTTGTCTTTTAAACTTGGGAATTAAAGATTTTCAATTCTATTTGATAATCAAAAACAAGAGAGAGAAAAAAATAACAATAACATATTTTCTTATAATAAAAATTAATAAGTAAACAATTAATTTTCTAAATATTAATATTTTATTAATGTTTTATTAAGATTATGTTTTTTAAATAAAAGTAAAACTCTTTTAAAAATAATGCGAAAATATTGAAAATTAAATTTGGTTTTTAGATTATTTTATTACCAAATCAACTCTTGTATATAATTAATTATCAACATTTATTGCACCATTCGAGGTAATAGTTATAAATATGAGAATTGATGTATGTCTGTTGCCATCTATTGGTGCTAAATAAGACTACGAGACATTGTCACTAAACAGAGAATCTGTCGGCTTGTATGTTTGTGTTCTCTGCTTTCAACCCCCACCGATGCAACCACAGGATCGTAACACCCACGCACTGGGCAAACAGAAAGCTTCCTAATATAACGAAATGCATCATAAAATATCTTTCTGCATTCTCTTCATATTTATTTAATATATTAAAGCATAATCGAGAGAAAAAAAAATCAATACAATAAATTTAAACAAATAATTCATGATAATAAATAATACTTTTACATTTCCTGGCATTTAAAAATAAACATCTTATGAGTCATAAAGCTCTTATAAAATAAATATATCATACATTACTGTGTGATATATAAATATATCACACAGTAAGATAGATAAAATTTAATCGTCAATTTTTCTAGTAAAGAAATACAATTCTATACAATAATCGTAACTGTATGAAAAATTAGACTCTTTAAAAATTAAAAAAGAGAGCAGATTTTCATAAAGTGCAATTTTGAAAACGTTCTATATCCGTAATTTAGCTTACAAAAGAGTATTCTAGTTTTTAGTATTTCAGTAAAAAGATATTTCTAAAACTATTGTATTAAAATACTAATTAATAATTTTAACATTGAGTAATTCATACGCACAATGAATTAAATACATATTTTATATTCTGCTTTGCGATAATTGTAAAAAATTAATTCGAGAAAGGAGATGAAAAAAAAGAGATACTCGCGCGAGATTTTCATTATGGAGCAATTTAATAAATCAATGTATGGTCACGCGAAGAAACGGAAAGTGGGATCATCGCAGAGGAAGGAAGCATAGCGTGGGCTGCCTTATCTGGTACAATGTATCCTGGCTACGATAGCAGAATGCCATTGCCTTCTCTTCCTCGTCTCGCCTTTCCAGGACAGCTCGCTTCCCATCCTCTTCCGTCGTGTCATCAAAGATTAATGAGAATCGAGGGCACTGCGTAAAGCAACGAGTTTAAAATATTGATGCTAGATGCTGCGATGAAGTAATTATTTGGCTATCTGTTTGGACGATAACGAGATATACAATGTATGCATAAACATTTAATATCTCTGCAAATTCTTTCGAATTTACAACATTACACATTTTCAAATATCAAGTGTAATTTATTAGAAAAAAATTAATATAAAAAATATATCTTATTTGTATGTAAAAAATTTCCTGAATATTTATTTCACGATTTTGAAATTTATGCATGATAATTTTTTTATTATCTTATATATAATGAATGATTGTGAATTTTTCTATTTATATGATATATATTATTGTTTCTTACACATTTAGAAATTTTATATAAGAGTAAATTTAATAAATAAATTTATGCAATTTAATATAAATTGATATCAGAATAGATTCACTTTCATGTAAATTGGAAAAAATTTACTATATGAAATATTGTTTACATTTGAAAGTAGAGCCGTTTTACATTTCTTGAACAACAGATTTTAAAGGATCGTAAAAATACCAAGTGTGTTGCACATGTGCAGCAACATAAGCCAATATAACGGGTGTGCAAAAGCATCGTTACTTTCAAGGATTCAAATTGGAGCAAAACAACAATTTAGAGTTCTCAATCTGTAAACTTTCTGCAACGTTGAGTATAACGCGTACAAAAAGCATCATATCAGGCGAACGGAACGTTGACCTGTGATAGCAGAACGTCTATGATTTACACTGTACCATTTATATAAGAAAGAGAATATTCTTCACTGCTCTTTCAATAGATATTAATCATGAAAAAAAATTATCTATAAATTGAAAATCATATAAATTTCATAAAATATTTCTTAGCATTAAAGAATATTTAAATAATACGTTTTTATTACATTTGATGTATTCAATGATTTAATTATTCAATGATTAAATTAAAAATTCTCTCAATAATATATAAAATATTTATATACCTCGTGTAAAAAAAATCGCAATTTTTATAACACAAAAAAGGAAGATTTCTCTAAATCGTCAGATTCCAACAATTTACTCGACTCCAACGATTTACCGACTATTCAGACCCACTCGTCTCTTTTCAAGTCCGTCATTCCCTCTCTCCATGACTCTATGTACGGCACTGATGGGCACCTCGAGCGGAGTCACAACTCGCAAGCCGACGTTCACTGAGCGAGAGACGCGTCACGAGGCGCGTCCGCACCGCGTTTTTCATTTTTCGTCTCCGAATTTTCCGTATAAGTGCACCCTCACCTGTCAGAAGACTCGATCGAGTCTGCGAGTGGCACGTGAAAAAGGAATCGGGTTCAGTGACACGACCAGGAGGAGAGTTTCGGTTGAGTTCAGCAAGAGAATTTTCCAATCGCGTTGCTGTGAGATCTCTGCGTATCACTCAGAGTGCAAGACTCCGAAGCGGCTTGTCTCGAGAAAAGAAGAAATATCTCGTCGACTTAAGTAACGCTACAGAGTGAATTTAACGTAGGTGAGCATTGTTAGACAATTTCAATATTAATTGCAATGACAATCGCTTTTCGTTCTACAGGTGTGGAAGTGTGTTTGGCAATGATTGTTGTGTATCTGATCGAGAAACAAGAGAGAGACAAAGACTACCTCTCTGTCTGTTTTGAAACTTAATAAATTATTTAGAATTATTTAACTTAAAATCTTTTTATGTAAAATTATTCTGAGATAATTATCGATTCATAATTTGCATCGATATCATAATTTGCATACGCGTTTCTTTTATATTTTTGCTCCTGTTAAATAATTATTAAAATGAGAGTTCCTCCTTATCAATCGATTATCGGGATCGATTATCTTTTACTTGTTTTAAGTATCATTTAAAAATTCAAATAATTCGTAACAATTATTCTTGAAAAAGTCAATTGCTACATATTGATGATAATTTATTTACACGTATTTATAATCTAGAAAAAATTATATATCTATTTATTTCAATTAAACGAAATCATAACAAGTTAAACTGAATTAAAGAAATATTATCATAAATATTTTTGATAATATATTTCGAATGATATATTTTGTGTTACATTTTAGAATTATGCTTTATTTTCGTAGAAAGACTCTTTCGAATCATCCATGGCTTAGCAATCATTGTGAAAAATCTACATAGACGGAGGTAGAAAAAAAATCGGAAAAAATGCTCCGTGTTCATTACAAGTACATGGCATTTGCTGCTTTAATTATTATACTTACTATCTTAACAGGTATGTAATAATCTACATATATATTATATTGTTCAGATGTGGTAATAAACATTTTAATCTATTTTCGCAAAGTTATTGTTAAGTTGAAATATTTTATGCATACGTTATATCAAGATATATCAAGGTATCAAGATATCGAATTTCAAAAATTAATTTTTATTCAATATATTTTTAATTATTTATATATTTATATATTTTATATATTTATATATTTTTAAAATTTATATATTTTTAAAATTAATTTTTATGTAATATATTTGTATCGAATTTCAAAAATTAATTTTTATTAAATATATTTTTTCACTAAAATTACAATTTTTCGATTCTGTTTCTCGTACTATTACGTATATTTTGTTGTTTTCATTTTACATATTACGTGTACGATAGAATAACGTAATAAAAATTCTTATTCTTTTAGATGGACGAAAAATCGTTCCATCCCATTTATTTCCCTTATAAAGACAAGATTCATTTTATCCAATATGATTAGATAGAGATATGACCTCGCGACCTGCTTTCCTTTTGAAATCGGCGAATTTATTTCAACTTGTAAAATTCAACTGTTCAGTAAATATAGATCTTCATATGTATTTTTCGATTCTAAAATTATTTGAAAAATAATCGACACGATTATATGACTCGAATTGAGTATTTACGCACGTTGCAGAGCATCTCTATATCCAAGATGTATGAAACATTATATTGGATGTAACGATTCATCTTTTACAAATTTTTTTATTTGCAATATTAATCCAAAATCAAGTAATAAGATATTCATTATTATTTTGAAGATATTATTAGATATTCATTATTAATTTAAAGATATTAGATACAATATAATATTTAATATGTTAAAAATTGGAAGTTTAATGAAAGATTCATCTCGATATTTTCTCTTAAAAAAGAACTGATTCCAAAATCATCAATAAATTTACAAATAAAATACGACTTGTATCTCAAAGACAGTCTTCCCTTCTTGCATTTCATTGAGAGCTTAAAGATATTTTCCAGAGCTGTCTTCTCTCATAAACATCCGGCTGTCCTTTGCGATACCACTTCTACCGGTAGTAGAACGTCTCTTGATAACTGGATAACGCGTTCTAGTAACATTTAAAATAACATTTAAAATTTGTACAAAAATTATTTTACATTAAAATTATTATTCTCGAGGCACTTAAAAAGCAACAGACTAATATCATTGTGTTTTATGTAATTTATTCTATTATAAATTTTAAACTTTTTCTTTTTTATTCTTTATTGATGTTATATATTTGTCTAAGGAATAATACATAAATTTGTTATTTAATATTTATCACTTATTATTTATTTGCCATATATTATTTATTATTTCACGTATATATCGTTAAATAAAATCTAAAAAATATATCGTTCGTATATATCGTTAAATAAAATATTTAATGTTTTTAATGTTTTTTAAATAATTTATTTGTTTATAGTGAATTCTGCAAATTCTCGGCATGGATTATTTAGATATAAAAGGTCACCGATAATAACCGGGGGTGTTGTATATAGAGGACCACCTAGAGGTAAGATTTTAACTTTTTAAATTTATTTTTCATTCCTTGCTGATATAATTATATTTTTATTGCATTTTGTAAGAAATATGACTGATTATTGTATTGCACATTGATGCATTAGGTATCATTAATGACCTTATCAGAGAATATCAAACGACAAAAAAGAAGTACGATTAAACTTTTACACGCGTTATAGTAATATAATTATATACAGAAAATGCGAAAATAAAGATGGAGGTGTTATAGGATCGGTGCAGAGAGGCGATATGTCACCTATGGAGGTGATGACAGAGCGTCATAATTGGCTAGGGCAGACCGTTCCCCAATCAAGAGGTAGTTGCGTAGACAAAAGCGTAAATACATGCCGCATTACCCCGAAAGATATTTAACGAATACACATATATACACATATACAAGCATACCCTGTAGTTATTTTGGTATAAAGAAACCCCTAATGAAGATCCTGGTTGACAATGAAACCTCGTTTCCCAGTGTTATCAGCGTAATATTAATTATTCTTTTTAATTGATGTGGACATCGGTATGTAAATACATTTACCAGATGTTTGCAACATACATTGAGCCTTCCATATAATATGGTAAAGGTGTCGTACATAGCTAATCGACGTAAACTAACCAGTGAACCGTAATTAACTGGGAAACCGCATCCTCCTCTATAATACCTAACGCATACCTCGGCATGATATATCGGTATGCAATGGTGTCTAACAAAATCGATTTATAATAAGTTGTAAAAAAATAAGAGGAATCTTTTTTGATGCAGGTCCCAAGAGACCACATCCCTGCGAGCAAAGTTCGTGTTATCCCGCAACTGGAAACTTGCTGATCGGTCGTAAGAATAAATTGCACGCCTCGTCGACATGTGGTCTTACGGGTCCTGAGAGATTCTGCATCGTTTCCCATCTTAAGGAAAGAAAGAAATGCTTCTTCTGCGACGCGTCGCTACCCAAGCAGCAGCACAACATCGAAAACATTGTCAGCGGGTAAGATTGCTTTCTACACGTGATGAATATAACTACAATAATTCCTACAATCATTTTTGAAATAATAATAAATGATGTAATATTTCGTAGTAAAAATTAATAATAGAAGTATGATATATATTAGTCGCATATGCATATTTAAAAATCATTAACAAAATAATTATAAAAGTAAAATAATTATTAAATTTCAGATCGTGGTGGCAAGCCGAGAACGGAGTAGAGAATGTCACGATACGCTTCGACCTCGAGGCAGAGTTCCATTTCACGCACATCATCATTCGCTTCCAAACCTTCCGACCAGCTGCCATGCTAATCGAACGGTCGTACGATTTTGGACAGACCTGGCAGGTATACCGGTACTTCGCTCACGATTGTGGGCACTATTTTCCCCAAATCTCTACTAATCAACCCCAAAGATTAACGGACGTCATTTGCGAGACGAGATACTCGGCTGTGGCACCATCCACTAATGGCGATGTAATTTTCAGGTAAGAAATACGTAAAAAAAAGCTCCTTCCTTTATATTATCTATTAAATTATACCATATCAGATTTATTTAGATTTTATTATTTCATATATTATATATAAACTTTTTTATTTAAACTCTCTTTTATTTTTAATATATTACCTATGATTGCTAATTATTATTCGTGCGATTAATTTTTTCATTCATATTTCAGGGTATTGCCGCGAAATTTGGAAATTGAGAATCCCTATTCGAAGGAAGTGCAGAATCTCCTTAAAGTTACGAATCTCAGAATCAACATGACGAGGCTACATACACTGGGCGACGATTTGCTCGACGATCGAGCCGAGATTCGCGAGAAATACTATTACGCTATCCAAGACATGGTAATTCGTGGTTCCTGCTCCTGCTATGGACACGCTTCCCGATGTTTGCCGTTACCCGGAGTCGTCGACGAAGAGAACATGGTTCATGGCAGATGCGAGTGTACTCACAACACCAAGGGACTCAACTGCGAGAATTGCGAGGACTTTTACAACGATCTACCGTGGAAACCCGCGGTCGGCAAACAGACGAACGCTTGCAGGCCGTGTAATTGCAACAATCACACCACTTCGTGTCACTTTGACGAGGCGGTTTACGAGAGATCGGGAAGAGTGTCCGGTGGAGTTTGCGACGATTGCCAGCATAATACGAGGGGCCAAAACTGCGAACAGTGCAAACCGTTTTATTATCATGACATGACGAAATTTATCTCTGATCCAGAGGCCTGTCAACGTAAGTGTTCAATTGCTTCAATTTATATTATATATCGTCAATTAATATATCTTTATATAACGTTTGACGTATAATTTCTTTAATAAGGTCATTATTTCTCACCTGCCTCAAGTTCAAACGGAGATTATTGAAGATTAAAAAATTAATATATTGAAGATTGCAAAATATTAAACTTGAGATATTGAATCTTATCATCCTCTCCCTCATAGCTTGCGATTGCGATCTCGGTGGATCCTTGGACGACGGCATATGTGACTCGAGAACGGATCTTCTTAGTGGTGACGAATCCGGACGCTGTCATTGTAAAGCAAACGTCGAGGGACGTCGTTGTGACCGTTGCAAAAACGGTTTCTGGAACTTTAATCCCGACAGTCTTGAAGGCTGTCAAGGTAAAGAAATGATGATTACACTCGTCCGAACATAATCTATTGAAAAAACTATTTTGAATTTAATGTTATCTTGATAAAGATCAAGATGACTCCTGACAGAAATTTAACAATGAGTTCTTCAAAATTATATGAAACAAATGAATTATTTTTAAATTATAGCCTGCACCTGCAACACTTTGGGCACCGTTGACAATCAAGGCTGCAATGTGATAACTGGTGAATGTACGTGCAAACGTTACGTCACTGCACGCGACTGCAACCAATGTTTGCCGGAATATTGGGGATTATCCGAAGACCGTGACGGATGCAAACCCTGCGATTGCGATCCTGGCGGTTCCTACGAGAATTCCTGCGACGTCATCACCGGCCAGTGCAGATGTAGACCGCACGTCAGCGGAAGAACCTGCAATCAGCCGGAGCAAAGTTATTACACTGGCTCGCTGGACTTTCTTATTTACGAGGGAGAGTTATCCAGAGCTACTAATGTGAGTTCTCATTAAAAAAGAATTTTAAATTGGTTTTAAAACTGTTTATTAATATTATTGATGTATTGAATATTATTCTTCGCAAAAAATGGCAATATAAAAAATCAAAAAAATAGTAACAAGTAATAATAGCTACTGTTTTTGTTTATTATATTAAATTAAGTTGAGAGGGAGGGATGGGGGAAGGGGGGAGAAGAGACAGGGGACGAACGGACGATGGACGAGTGTGAGAGGGAGAGAGAGAAGGAATGGAGAGGGGAGGGAGGGAGAGGGGAGAGAGAGAGACCAAGGAGAGTTAGTTAGCGGAGAGTGGTAGGCGGCGCAGGATATGCGAAGGCGGCGTGTGGCGATAGAGGCAAGGTGTTAATTGAGAGGAACGAGAATTATTGTAAGGGAAGGCGGTGGTCCTCTTGTATCCTGCAAAGGGCAAGAATAAACAAATATCTATCTATCTATCTATATTAAATTAAGTTATATTTAAAAAACAAATATTAATGGAATTATAAATCAATAAAAGTATAAATAGAATTAAATTTAATTAAACATTTAGATAAATAAATATCAAGTATAAAGTATATTAAAAAAATAGATTTTTTTCTAGATTCTAGAATATTTTCAAAACACCATCATATATCTCTCCGTTTCGAAATCCTTCGAAACTGTTTTAATATCGAAATACAAATTTTTTCAGAACTGTCAAGTGGTAATCAGGGAACCTTACCGTGACGGCAGGAATAGCACGTGGACTGGCACGGGTTTCATGAAAGCTCTCGAAGGCTCGGTATTGAACTTCACTATCGACGACATTCGCAGATCCATGTGGTACGACGTGATCGTGCGATACGAACCGATACATCCAGGAGTTTGGGAAGATGTACAAATCATTCTCGAGAGGGACAGTCCGCCAGATCCTAATGGACCGTGCGCCGATTGGAGGCCCGAACAGGACCGTTTGAGGGCTCAACTGCCCTTACGTTCAAGAAGTGCCACGGCGCAACCAGCCGTATGTCTGGAAGCGGGGAAAAGATATAATCTGCTGTTGCAATTCCGCAAATTTACTAGTCACATGGATACGCCTTCGGCCTCCATCTTGGTCGATTCGGTAATATATATAATTTTGATTACATAAATTATTACAAAATATACATATCATCACATAATCACATATTTAATTGCATAATGCATCTTCCGTAATGCGCTGGAATCATATAAATAAATATGTGAGATAGATAAATATTACTCAAACTTGAAAACTAAAGGCATTTTTTCCTAGATATTTTAACATAAATAAGAATTTTCCTCTAACAATTCAAAGTATGATAATGATGTGATTTTTATAGATTGTTTTGAAACCGAGAATAGAGATGATACCTTTCTTCAAGCCACCAGGTTTTGGTGAATTGCGCCGTCAAGAATACGAACGGTATCATTGCAACGAGTTCTTTAACGAAGTCGACAATGCGTGGAGTAACGTACCCGATGTCTGCAAAAAGTATCAGAATAGCATCGGCTATTTCGTTTTCGATGGTGCTCATTGTAAGTTCAATCATACGTAACGTCTGGTGTCACGGCTTTGATTGACATTAAATGAAAAAATCGCTATGATATTCATAAATACAATTGACTCTACTAAAAGAACTGTTCCAACTCTCTGATTCGTGCAGTATTTTTTTAATACCGCTCATACTACTTAATTTTTTCACAAGCGAGAATAAAATTAGATTCTAATAAATAAGATAATATTAAATTTTAGCCTGCGAGTGTAACCCGACCGGCTCCCGCAGTCTTTTATGTGAGAACTACGGCGGGATGTGTCCGTGCAAATCGAACGTGGTTGGCAGACGTTGCGATCGCTGCGCGCCAGGAACGTATGGATTCGGACCCGAGGGTTGCATCCCTTGTGACTGCGATGGCGTCGGCGCTCTTGACAATTTCTGCGACGTCGAGACAGGCCGCTGCAAATGCCGTCCCAACACCTATGGCAGAACCTGCGGCCAGTGCGAGCCCGGTTTCTGGAACTTCCCGCATTGCCAGCGCTGTGAGTGTAACGGACACGCGGACAGCTGCGACTCCAAGACCGGGGCTTGCATCAATTGCCGAGACTTTACCACTGGACACAATTGTGATCGTTGCGTCGACGATTTCTACGGCGATCCGCGGATCGGCGTAGATATATCTTGTAGAGCGTGTCCCTGCCCAGGTAAGCGCAATTTTCTGAAAAATTGTATATCGATTAGAAATGTTATGTCTTGATCTTCTTTTTTCATCAAGTACATTTACAATAATAAATATCAAAAATTAAAGAATCATATATTATGACACTTATTATACTTAAAATAATACATTACATTTTTTGTGCCATTGCAGGTACTCGCGAATCTGGTCATTCCTACGCCAACAGTTGTTCGTTAGACTCTATAACGCAGGATGTGGTATGCGAATGCTTCGAGGGGTATTCTGGTCCCCGATGCGAGCATTGCGCTGAAAATTATTACGGTAATCCGGAAATACCCGGCGGTAACTGCGAGCTGTGCAACTGCAACAATAACACTGATTTACGTCGAGCTGGTAACTGCGATCCACACACCGGTCATTGTCTCCAATGTCTATTCTATACCGATGGTCCCAACTGCGAAATCTGCAAATCCGGATTCTACGGAGACGCCCTTCAACAGAATTGTCAAGATTGTAGGTGCAACGTCCTGGGCACTGATAAGACTGCGGGATCGTGTAACCATCGTACCGGACAATGTCCGTGTTTACCGCACGTCATGGGACAGCTTTGCGACTCTTGCGAAGAGAATCATTGGAGAATAGCCAGTGGACAGGGCTGCGATCCTTGCGAATGCGACGCAATTGGAAGTATTTCCGACAGGTCTGTTAAAAATACACAATTTAATATATTATTCATTTTACCAAATATTGATTCAAAACAAAATTATATAAAGCAACCGATAAGAATGAACATATTTTACATGTAGATGTAACCCCTTCGACGGAACTTGCGAGTGCAAGCCAGGATTCGGCGGTAGACGATGCAATGAATGTCAGACAAACTTCTGGGGCAATCCAAATGTGGAGTGTTATCCCTGCGAATGCGACGTGATCGGTTCCGCTAGCCAACAGTGCGATAGAGAGACCGGATTGTGCGTTTGTCACAAGGGGATCGGTGGCGAAAAGTGCGATCAATGCGATCGCGGTTATCACGGCGAGGCACCGCAGTGCAGTCCATGTGGCGAATGCTTCGACAATTGGGATCTGATACTAGACGGCCTCAGGAACAAGACAAACGCCGTTATTCAAGAGGCTTCGAGGATACAGAAAGTCGGCACAACCGGCGTCTACAGCCAGGAGTTTGACGATATGGAAAAATCCTTGGACGAAATCAAGGATTTAATCGGCAACACTACCATCATAAGCGAAGACTTGGACGTGTTGGACGTATCGGCAAATGAGTTAACAAAGAATATCTCTGATTCGGCGAAGCAAGTGGAGGAAGCGAACAATCTTTTGGAGAGTCTCAGTCAGCGTGTCAATCTCAACGACGTCGCGTTGAAGAAGCTGCGAAACAGAACCAACAGTTTGGACGAAGCCGCTGCCGACCTGCGAGAGAACGCAACCAGATTGCAGGAAGAAAATGTGCAGGGCGCCCTTAACGTCACTCAACAGATGGCTGAGCAATCCAGGCAGGCCGAAAAAATGGCGAACGACACCGGCAACGTACTGGCCGACGCGGAACGTTTCCGCAAGCATACTGAGAATCTTTTGGCGAAGAATCGCGCTTCCGTAGACGAGGCGCAAGAGAGAAACAAGGAGTCATTGACGAAATTAAACGAAAAACTGAAAACATTCAATATGAATATACCTGAATTAAATCTGCAGATGTGCGGCAACAACGTGACGGATTGCAGTATCGTCTGCGGCGGTGCGGGTTGCGGCTTTTGCGGTGGTTTATCTTGCGACGTCGGCGCGGTTAGCAAAGCCAATCAGGCTCTGGATGTTGCCAAGCAGCAGGCTGCTAAGATCAAGAGTCACAAGGACGAAGCTGAGCAGCTGCTGCGTAATGTAAGCTAAAAAATGATATATATTATAGTTAAAGATTTTATAAGAACTTTTATTTCTCTTCATCATTTATTCATTTTTCCATAATTTTTGCTACACTTGTATTAAGTTCGCAATTTATTCGATTAATCCATCTTTTCAGATGAGTCAGATCAAGCAAGATTCGACAGCAGCGAGATCCAACGCTCAAGATGCTTTCAATTACGCTTGGGATGCGCGTAATCGCTCCGACAAGATCACTAAGGACTTGTCCGACATAACAAAGCGAATTAGGAGCACTCTGGACGAGGATCAGCCTACGCCGGCCATGGTCAGAGATCTCGCGAACGAGGTGCTGGCAAAGAACATCCAGCTAGAGCCGGATGAGATCACGCAATTAGCCGATCGCATCAAGAGTATCGTCGGTTCGCTCACTGACTCCGAGAAGATACTCGCCGATACCAAGAACGACCTTCGATTGGCTTACGATCTCGAAGAGCGTGCTAATCGCACCAAAGAGATGGCCCTCGAGAAGCAGGCTCTAGTCAACAAGGTGAATCTATTGTTGAACGACGCGCAAACGGCTCAATATCTGGCGCAGAGTGCTATCGACAAAGCGGAAGCCGATGTGTCTAAGTCTCAGAAAGATCTGGCGGACATCGCCGATGTAACCAAGGCCGCTCAGATCCAAGCCAACAGCACCACCCAATCGGTGGAGGCACTGGACAATCGTCTGAAACAACTGCAGACGCAATCTGCGAAAAACGCCTTCGTCCTGAAGGAAATCGCCGTGGAAGCGAACAAAGTCGGCAACGAGGCGCAAATGATCGACGCCAAGACGAAGAAACTGGCGGAGGAGTACAAGCGTGCGGACGAGTCGCTGAACCAGCGGGTCAACAAGAGCAAGGGCGACATATTGCGAGCAAAGAAACTCTTGCAACGAGCTTCCGAACTGACGGCGGATACGTCGACCAAATCCAAGGACTTGGACGGCATGGAAAGCGTTTACAAGGACAACGAACGACTGCTGACAGATCTGATGAGCGATGTCGACGCGCTGACGATGGAAATGGAAAGACACCTGGTGGAGATCGAGCAAAAGTCGCAGTTGTATAGACAGTGTTCCGCTTAAAACTGGCTGCAATTAATAACGGGAGTCATTAGTATCTCTCGAACGAATTTCGTCTGTAAAGTATATGATACGTATGATATCGATAACGGATATATATATTTTTTCTCAGTTATTATATTTAACACACAAACGTCCTTCGGCGATATAAATTCGCTTTACAGGCGAGATCCTTTCCAATGCGCATCTTATACTGAGAAATTTTATTCTTCATAAGACCGGTGCTTTTTACTTGTGCAATAGCTGTAGTTTTTATATCCGATTTATAGAAAACGGATGCGCGTATTGCATGTATATTGTACATGCGATCGCAAGTTATATTCTGCATAAAATTGCGAGAGGCAAAGAGATTATTAGTGCCATAAATGTAAATGGAGGGGCCATTAATAGTTGTAAAGAAGATTCGAACGTGCGTCGGTTATAATATGTCGATTCAAGTGAAATCCTTAGCGAGAGACTCCATTTTCTCTGTTTTCTTTTTGTAGTTAAATTTTTTAATTTTTCTCTTTTTCATCTTTATATCCTAACAATTTTTTACCTTTATATACAGATATTTTATGTGATTGATATACGTCATTGATATACGTATACATATTATTTTATTATACTTGGTACTTAAAAGAGAAATAAACTGCAGCGAAGTATTCCATAGATGGTACAGTAAAGGTAGGTGTGTCTCACGTAATGTAAATAACTAAAATAAATATAACGCAAGATTAAGAGATATTAATATAAATATTTGCGACGCGATTATATTCTATCGAAGACTTGTGCAGAATATTCAATATGTCGCATATATTATACATATTTCATTACATATTTCATCTCTCAACGAACAAAATGTAAGGTGGCCTTATTGCAGCGCCTGTAAGTAATTACAGATCGCTCTAACATGTAAATATCTAAAGTTACAATCATATATGTAAATTCATCGAGACATTCTTTTTTCTTTTTTCTTTTTTTTTTTTAATTCGACACTTTTCTCTTGCGATTTTATAAACGTCAATTCTTTAATTATAAGAATGACAGAAAGAAATAGCATACCAAGGAAGACTGACGAAATTTTTCCTGACGATATAAAAACGAAAAACAAGATTAATTACTTGTCATCATTGCACACGATCGAGCCTCATGTATCGAATATATCATTAAGAATTTTCTCTTAAATGAACGAGACAATGCTATGATTAAACCAAAAAGAATTCAAGAATGATATTTAATGATATATTACGCATAATTATATTTTATAATATTGTAATTAAAGAAATAAATGAGAGTTGTGCCAAAAGAAAGAAAGAGCGATTATCATCTCGACAAATCCACAGATTAATATTTTAATTATGCATGTAATATTTATCATATTTTATTGTACACTTCAATATAAAGTTTCTTTATTCTTTTTCATAATTATAGATCCACAATTTAAGATAATCATTTATCTTCGTCCTTGCGACTTATTGTGGTAAGCGCAAGGAAATTGTCGGAAAATATCATATCATTAATGATAAAATATATTTCCTGTTATATATATATTTTTTCTCGTTAAATATAATGCAAATACTCTAGTAGTACGACTGCTTAATGACATCCGTCAAGTAGCTGCCATTGTCGTGTTTATATGAGGCTGTTATGTTTTTCCAATTTTTCCCAACACTATTTTAATGCATTCGATTCATAGAACCTAGAAATAGGTCTTGCCGTTTATTATTATAGAGTCTGGTTACGTCGGAGCCATATGCGCCGATTATATTTCCCCTCATTGAATGTCATCGCAACATCGAATGCTCCTGTCCCGATTTCAAGGGAGTTCGAAGCAATTCGGGTAGTAGTCGGCTTTCTCAGCCCTAGTAACGCGTGAATGCTCTATTTGTCATTTCGGCCCGTTCCTTAAAGTCGCCCTTTTTCCTTTTCAGAGGAGAGTCTACGCACACTACGTTCGAATATTTCGTGAATAGCGCACTGTTCAATTCAAATGGCGTATGTGTTTGGAGCAGTCCGCGCACAATGGGTTCATTCAGTACGTGAATCAGTGGTTCTCCATAAAGATGATGGAAATAAGACGCGGAAATCCTTGAAAATTAATTGCAAAAAAAATCTTCGATTTTTTCTAAAAAAAAAATAAAGCTTTCTTTGATGAAAAACTTTATAACAAAAAAGTTAGAGATGTAAAAACGTAGTGATAAAATTATTATTATTTGTTAAATAGATTCTAATTTTCCACAACAATGACGATTAATAGAAACAATGTTATTTCGAATAATGTGATATACATATTATAAAATATTTTTTGTTCTAGCAATACTTCATGAAGACAAGAAATTTAAAATCTTTCTTAAAAATATGCAGGAATCTTAAAAAATACCGTGATGTAATACATTTTCCTTAAATTTTCCTTCATTAAATTCTTCTAAAGCATTCAAACAAGTTATCTTTAGAGAAAACTTATTCTTCATTGTCTTGTGATGTCGAAAATTCAACAGTATTTCATATGATTATCCGATCGATCCGCATTTTGACCTTAAGTACTAAAATCAGAACACGCGATATAACTAATAGATTATGAGATATTATCCGAGTAAAGGTTTTAGATGATATAGCAAAGTTTTATTAGAAACTGTCACGTAATAATTGCATGCTTCATTATTTTTAATCACGAATTTTTAAAGGTATAGCTATATATCATCAATTGCAATATCTCGATACGTAATTATGATCTTCAAAAAGTAATCCAATATCAATATATCAACCTAGATAGTATACATGTCCAAAAGACGTCTAAAATATGACTTAAAGACGTCTTAAAGTCCTCTAGACGTCTTTAAGACGTTTTTTGGCTTTTTTGTGCTGTCTGGGAATCGATCTATTACGTGAGTACACACTTTGATTACGCCGACCCTTTGTGTATTTATTTTCCAATATTTAGCATGCATTGACTAAAGAATGTATTTTTATTTCCAAAAAACATCCTAAATTCAGCAAGTTATTCGATGGTAAAAATTAGGCTTATTACGCAAAAATTGCTTATTAGAATTTTTTTATATAATTATTTTATATATTTATATAATTATTTATATTTTATATAATTATTTTATATATTTTATATATGCATTTAAATATGATGGAACGATTAAAATATCTCTTTCTGACTCAATTTTGCATCGAGATATATTCACTTCTGTATCATGTGCTTTTCTTGCGGTTAACCACGAAAATAATCTACAACATTCTTTAAGAGCTTCTAAAACTGCACAGTTTAATCATTCACTAAATGTTTAATCATTCACTAAATGTAAATTATATTCAAAATGCAAAGAAATAAAGAGATATTCCATCTGTGTGATGCTATACAAATATTCTGCATCCGTTTTTTATTCAACTTGAATGCGACTTTAATATAAAAAATTCGAGAATGATTTTCGTTTTCACAGAATAAGTTTTACGATACGTGCAAGAGATAGAAAAGGAAAAAGAGAGAAAGAAAAACGTGAGACAAAATCTCGTTCCCTCACTTTTTCTGGTGTACGATATCGAATTTCCCCTCCTTCCCCGTTTCTAAGCGGAGTCTTTTACTTACCTTTAATCAGCCGAAGGAGCTCGACAGTCAACTGATGCGCGCCGCAGAGGGGATGAAAGAAGGCAAGTAGGGTGAGTTTATTTGACGAGGGCCACTCCTTCCGATTGTTCGGTGGCCCTTTGTGGCCGTTGACAGCTGCTGCCTACGGACGTAAGTCACATTCGCTTTCGTCGATCGTTGGAGAATCGAGAAGAACTAGCTAGTCGGCTGATGCTAGATGATTATCGTCGCAATAATTCCATCGAGGTGACTCGAAGGCAATTTGTGTGATTCGATGTTTGTCTGAAATGAAATAATTATTTAGAGTACTTGTAGACAGTAGTGTATCGTGCGAGTGTTTATATGTGTTTCCTGAGACAGTACATGAGACACGTGCCGCCTCTGCAATAATTCACGTGCGGATATTTTATTTTGTCACGTGTTTCCAGAAAGATGCGAGTGCGTAACACGTGCATCGAATCGCGTGAATGAACTTCATTGAAATTCATGAACTGATACGTGAGACATTATTTTGAGAAATAAACATCCTCATATCATTTATCTCATACTACGCTCCAGGAAAATTATTGCAGGTGACAATTATATATTGAGACAAAATATTTCGAAAATTATATAATTTTTATATTTTTTATATATTATTTAATTATCAAATTTATTAAATTGTATATATGTATGTGTGCGCGTGCGTGTGTGAGAGATGTCTATATGTATGTTATGATTTGAGTGAAATGAAAATTGAAGATGAGCATAAGAAAAGATAAACATGCTTCAATAATAATGACAACATGAACGAGCTAAGTTTAACATCGAATGATACCTCAAGGATATGACCAATATTTTTATTTTTTTCCAACATAACGTCCAAAATATTTTCATCTTTAATTAACGCGCGGGATAAAATGATATATGATTGAACGATTTGTCTTCATCAATTTTCCTTTTTTGACAATGGCCCTCGGATATACTTTCAATCACGCAAAAAAGCAAACAACGAAATGGATGAAAACGAATGAATGAAATGAAATGGGAAAAGAACGAAAACAAGAAAATAAAAATTACTGTTGAAATTTAGTATTCTCTTGGTCGCTATTTTTATATTTAGGATCATTTAAATTAAAAAGTTAAATTATACTAAAATTCAAATTACTGACTTACTAATTTTAATATAAATTCAAATTTATATTTCTTTTTGTTTTTTTATTCAGTCTTATAATTAATCTAGCAATCCTTAAAAGAATGATCTCTTTTAATATCTTTCGTATACATTTTGATTAGAATCAATGATGTACATTTTTCAAAAAAATGTGTGATACAATTTTGTCAGAATTTTCAACAGATTAATTTCATTAATGTCCAAACAAATCGATGATTGATCGATTGAACGTTACTATGTAATTATAGACACAATATACTATTACATCAATTATTGTATAATTTTATTTTGTATATTGTATAATATTATTCATATTGTATCATATCATATATCATATTTAATAATTCATATCATATATCATATTTACATAAATATATTCTAAATCATATATACATATCATATATACATAAGTATATTGTCTAAATATGTAATTCGATAGAAGTGGATATAATTTTCGACTAGCATTGATAGGCAGTTCATTATGATAAGAGATTTTAATGTTTTAACAACTTCAATCAAAAGAATCTAAAGTCGAAATTAATGGACGAAACTAAGCGCGAAGAACAGAAGAAAGCGGAAGAAAAAGACGAAGAAGAGGAAGAAGAAGAAGGGGAGAAGTTAAATCGAGTGAGTTAGATAAGGAGACTTGTGGTATACTCGTAAAGGGTACACGAGTCAACGGAGTTCGTCAGTCTGTAGACGAGCGTCTGCCGGAATAACGGAAGCAATTCAAGTGTTTGACCGTAGTATGACTCAGGATAAGCAGATCGAAACAGTAAAAGAACATAAAATTTAAAAGTTAAGAAAATAAGGACATATTATTCTTCAGATACAGTGATGAGAGTTTGTAAAAAATCGACTCTACGTGGAAGAAACTGTAGCTGACATGGATAATAAATGGAAAATACATGTTTAATTATAAGAAAAAGGACTTCAGTCCAAAAAAGCTAAAGTAAAGCAATCAAAAATCGGTCGCAAGATAGAGAAAAGAGATTTGGGATGAATTGTTTGAATAATGACTTAATTGAACGCCATAAAATATCGCAGTAATTTCTGGATGAAGAATACCTTCTGAGTAACAATAACAATATAATAACGTGAAATATGATTCAGCGAACTCTTTCCATTGAAGATCAAAGTTCACGTTGCCGGTTAGACAGGGGAATCAGTATATTCCGAGAAGGTCATAAAAATTTATCAGCGTGACTAACTTGTGTTTTTAATGGAAGAGTGCGAGTAACGCGAGAAAAGATATGGAAATGAATTGATGGGGCACGCACGATAAGAGAAATATATATCTTGAAGGGTATACGTGTTCTTCTTTTTCTCTTGTTTTCGTGGACCGTTTCTCTAAGAGAAGCATCAGTCGCGACAAGATGAGAGTTCCCGAAAAATAGACAAAAGTCAATAAATGAAAAGAGAAATATCTGTGACTGAACATGAATGAATGAGGAATGTGCATAAATGCAAAAGAATCATTGGATTGTGATAATCTATCTCGCAAAAGATAGGTGAATTAAAAGACTTTGTTTTAAATATAACAACCTCCAAGATATGGGAAACTTATCCTAATATTTTACTTTGATTTATTTTTTTCTATTCCTCCCATTTCTATTCCCCATATTTATTTCTACCCATTTTAATAGATTAAAGAAAATTAAAAATAAAGAAATGAGAAATTTAAAAGTAAAATTTAAAAATAAAATTTAGAAAGGAGATCCATTAAAATTAAGATTTCATAAAATGAATTTTTTCATAAGAATGTTTTTTTTTTATAGCACGTGAGCCGCATTGACTTTCGACTTTTCGGAGAATGAGAAGAAAAAGGAGTCCTGCACATTGGACAAAAAATGGAGTACTTTGCAAATAATACGATTTTTACTACAGAATTTAATATTCAAATTACTGCAGAAGATGGAAACTATAACAAGCCATTCGCGCGACCTGTGACTATTTTTGCCGCTGTTTGCGCGATAATATTCAGCATTATCGGAGTGTTAGGTAATATTCTTTATCCTTTATAGTCGTCTACAGTAATTCTAAAGCTTTAACTTTTCAACAACAATCGTTGAGACATAAACATTTCAATTCCAGGCAATCTAGTGACGGTAATTGCATTATTAAAATACAGCAGATTGAGACGACATGCTACCACAGCGTTTGTGATATGCCTGAGTATCTCCGACTTGATCTTCTCGGCAGTTAATTTACCTCTAACTGCCAGTAGATATTTAAATGAAGCATGGGTGCTGGGCGAGACTCTATGTAAAATATTTCCCTTATTTTTCTACGGAAACGTTGCCGTATCTTTACTCAGTATGGTAGCCATTACCATTAACAGGTAAGTTCCATTGAACATTCCTTGAAAATTACATTCTTCGATATAAGAAATATATCTTAATTTTTGAAAAATATATTATGTGAGAAAAAATACATAAACCAATATCAATATAAACATTAATTAAAATTAATATAAAAAGATATATAATATTCTTAAAAATGTACCTTAAAGATTTTGCATTAACAATAGCACATGTGTGACTGACAATGAGACTCTGGTTTCTTCTAGATATGTACTGATTTCACAACCGGACATCTACAACCAGTTATATACCAGTCGCGGTATTGCGCTAATGCTAATAACTATATGGACTCTCAGTTTCTTGATGTTGTTGCCACCCTTATTGGGGATCTGGGGCACTCTGGGATTGGATTCAGCCACCTTCTCGTGTACCATATTGAAGAAAAACGGTTCCAGTCCAAAGAAGTTTCTGTTCGTTCTAGGTTTTGTTGTACCATGTGTAGTGATCAGCGTTTCGTACCTTTGCATATATTGGCGTGTTCGAAGCAGCCGGAAGAATCTCGAGGCACACGCAACAGACAGACGCGCTGGTAGACAAGGTGGTGGATTTCAACGAAGAGAAGATTCCAGGGTGACCAGACTCATGCTCACCATATTTCTCTGCTTCCTGATGTGTTTCATGCCATTGATGTTGGTGAATGTGATCGACGAGAAAATGAAGATCCCGATAGTCCACGTAATAGCATCGGTGCTCGCTTGGGCCTCGGCGGTAATAAATCCTTTCATCTATGCCGGTACCAACAGATTATATAGGGAAGCGTACAAACAGGTTCTGTGTCCTGCCTCAAGCAGAACACCCATGATCGGTCCTCCACTACCAGCACATTCTCATTCGAGTAAAGTCTCGTCACCTCATATGACATAAAAATATCACCCGGTTCGAGATGATTGCTTATAGATAAGTACCAAGTAAAAATTTGACGCTTAACAATATTATTTTACTTATTTTTTTATAAAAAAATTAAGCGTAATTTAAGAACTAGTAACGTAAAAATAAAATTTTTTTATAGAGTATAATAACTGTAAAAGATTAACAAAATTTAAAAATTGCAGACGTAAAAGTTTGCGTTCATAATTTTACAGAAACATAATTTCACGTTAGCAAACAAATAAAATTCTCTTTTGACGTGCCAATTATCTTTTTTTTTCTTGTTATCGAGAATAAGAAATGTAAAATTAGCGTAGAGGAAAATATATATAAAAAAATCTTATTTCTTGCTTTACATACATACATACGCATTGTATAACTCAATATTACAATATAAAATGACACTTTTTTGCATAATATAAAATATACATGTATCAAAAAAAGTTTAAAAGTATACAATAAAAATATAAACGCACATACACATCATAACAACATTGGCAAAACATATACATTAAGAAATCTATATTGAGATTAAAAGTATTTATGTACAATATAGATCTCATATATATAAAAGAGATTCATGATAAATACTGCTTAAAAAAACATATTTCCGCTTTAATATGTGTTAATGATTACACATACATCTTCAGTTTACAATCAAAGCTATGCTTCATGGCAATTTTGGTTTTGCTGATTATTTGTTCAACGATATTTACATTATAGATATATATTAATTTGATAATATATTTGTACTTGTGAAGGGAATGAGATTATGGCTTAAGTACATTAATTTAGTCGTACACATCACAAAGACATCATGAAAAAAATACTTAATTTTCTCTAACAAAATGACTTGGATTGATATATATCTATGAATAAAAATAACGAAATAAAAAAATGTTTAAAAAAATGTAAAAATAAAGAAATGCGAAAATAAAATTATATTTTCTATTATATTTAAATAATAAGTGATGTGCATATTTTATTGTGCATGTTGTGTGTGTCGTTATAACTTTACCTTATCTTCACTGATCAACTACATATTAATCTCAGTTATTTTATGCTAAACATGGACGGAAATTGTAATACTTCATAAGATTTGCCTTACACGTTACATTTATATAATAAATTTAAATTTAGAATATATCAAAGATAAAATATAGACACTACGTGAAAAATCTGTCTATGTATATGTGTATATATATGCATATACACACATATATACACACTTATCATGATAATCTTTGAGATTCTCTTGTGAATACAATATTTACAAATTGGAACTCGATGTTATCGTTAAACAAATAAAGATATAGACAATAAGATACCTAATAATATAATGTAATTACGTAATGTATATACTGTAATTTACATTACGTAATGTACAAAAATATCTGTATTGAAATTCTGTAGTGAAATTAATTCAACTCCAATTCCGGTATATAAGGCTCCGTGATTGCGGTGATGGGACACATAGTCAGAGTATCCTACAATGAGAAACATACGTAGAAAGATACTTTAATTAATAAATATTTTATATTTTTATAATAAATAAAGATTTTCAGTAATCAACATGATATAAAAAAAACACAATATATATTGCTGAAAATATTTAAAATAAATTGAATTTTATTTTCCTACCAGTCGTATAAGTTCATCTAACGTTGGCCGCTCTTCGGGATCATTTCGCCAGCAAGACGACATGACTTCGTAAATCGGATCTGGAACGTCCAACAATTGCGGTAACCGGATACCTTGCATAACCGCCTCTTCCACCTCGCTGTCGAGCGTTAAATTTGAGTATGGCGTGCCGCCCATGCTAAGTATCTCCCACAAAAGTACACCGAACGACCAGATCGCACCCGGCTGATGCTTCTTCTGACGATCGAAGCATTCGATCGCTGTCCATCTGGTATACTTGACATCTTCCAAAGAGTACTTGCCGATTCCGTGACCGATAAGTTTAGGCGTCCAGTCATTCATTAATCCCACGCTTCTTGCGCAAAGGCGAGTATGAACAATCTTATAATCTGCCAGGTATTGCAATGCGGCCGCTATCGAGGTCGAAATGGACAATATTCGGTCTGTTGGAAATGCACCTCCAGATCGCGCGCCTAACAGACGATTTTTCAAGATGTGCGGTGGTGATTCGAGTACGACGTACAACGTATCGGAAGTCTCGCAAGTCCCTACGAGTCCAGCGAGATACTTCATGGAACCTGCTCGAATACACACGTCTAATTCTCTCAGCATATGTCTCTTATCGGATCCTTTCAGGGCGCCGTCAGCTATGGTGTGAATCATGACCGTACTAGAGGATCCGTCATCCCTCGAGACAGTCCCAGTATGCACAGTGCCGAATCGACCTCTGCGCACGATAAAACTGTCGATGGACAGAGCGTTGCGCGGTATACTCCACACTTTCTTCTTCAGTTCTTGATAATGATTCACTCTCTCGGGAATGTCCTCCGGAATGTAACCCATGTTATCCACCTCATGCATTGGACCTTGCAACGTGAGCTCCTGCTGCTCTGGCAACTTCCGCATACTGAATCTTTCGTGTCGCCGTCGCAATACAAAATACAAGAATATCGAAGCGCCAAGCAATATACTCAAGATTGTGATTACTATGCATAATGCAAGAGCGGTTGAATCCGTTTGAGTCGTCGCGTTGAGTTCGCGATTGAACATGTTATTGGTCAAATCGGAGTAGGAACGTTGTACTTCCGTCCCTATTCGAGAAATCACCACCAGGCCAACCTGCGCGGATACAAAGTGATTCTTCAATGGAATGTTATAGTAGCCTCCAATCATATTGCCGTCACCTACGACGAATCTCTTGTATCTATGAAAGTCTGACGGATCGAATTGTGCAGTAGTGTAGTAATTTAAACCCTCTTTCGATGCCCTGTCATAGTTCAGATACTCAACTTTGGGACCAACCGGAGGTATAGTGCCAGTTTGCACAACGACTACTTCATACGCGCTAATTGGCCCGTATTCGCTGTGACTCTCGGTGAGCATGACAGTTACGGTGCTTTCTCCACGTTCCAATATCTTGGGAGTAAATGGTTTATCAGGAGGTCCTATCAAGGTCCACTCTACAGCATACGCTGGATCGCTAGGTCCCTGCGTATTGCTGGCAATGATAGATATATTATACTTGGTGCCTGGTTGAAGACCTCTTAGAATCGTGCTGTTCGATGCACCTCCCTGAATTTGACTCTCGACAGGCGGTAAAATGTTACTGGTGTGTGTTTTTATTGCGACAGCACGGACAGTGTAAAATGTAACGTTTCCATTAGGTATGTCAGGCGGCTGCCATGTTATTACAAGAGCATTTATATCATCCTGAGTTACCTGTATCCTCCTCGGTGGACTTGGTCCTAAAAAATATATATTTATTTAAATATATTTTCTTTTGAGACATATATATATATATATATACACATATATATATATTTAAAAATTTTATTTTGATGCATTAAACACATGTTAATATAGACATTGCTATTTCATCCATTAAATCTTTTGTATAATATATAATATATTATATATATACTAAATACATAATACAATAGTATAAAAGTTCTCTTACAGCACAGAACATTGCAAAAATATCCCAGGTAGAACATGAAATTCATAATGACATCATTATGACGTCACCTAAAAGTCATTTTAGAAAAATCATAATGATCTCATTTGATATACTTTTGGCAATGTTTTGGTGACTTATTTTTGATATTAAACAATTCTAGCGAACTCTGTTGGAGAATATATATACTTCGCGTATGAAATCTTAAGAATCAATCATAATAATATCATTTTTTATATATATTACGCAATTACTTGTTTATTTAATTATTCATGTTTTAATTATATTTAAGCAACATAATCTTTTTAAAATTATATAATGCAATTATTGAACTTAAAAATTTATGATTCTTTTTGTCATCTTTAACTCACTTTTTAATCATTTTTGTTTAGGTAATTTTTAAGTGATAAATAGAATCATGATGAAGTCATAATGATGTCATTATGAGTTTCATGTTCTACCTAGGTATTGGAGCAATATTGTAATGTTACTACAATGTTACAACAATATTAATAATATTGCTGCAATATTCTGTGCTGTATGGGTTGCAAAGTGAAGGGTTTATATTTGAAAATCATACCTTGTTGACCAGTAGCGTAAACGCTCATAGCTTCATAGCTGCCACAATAATTATTAGGATCCTTGGCGCAAAAAACAGTACAACTATTCGATAGACCTTCCTGACCGAATCTGCTGATGCAGTAACACAGTTCGCCATTCATCAATGCTGCAAACCTGAAACAAAGACATTTTAAAATCCAAATCACTGACATATGTCAAATGTATCACCAACATGCACATCTCACTTACATATAATAATGAGAACGGCATTTCTTCGTACATTCGGCGGGTACGCTGGCGTAGGCCAGGGTAGGCGTGGGTAATTCCAAGGCGGAGCTGCGGAAACAGCCCTTGTACTCTTGAGCGCACGCATAGTAAACAACGTGGATAAATAGAAGGAACGCGATCGCCGTCATCTTGAATGGGCTGGGTTACTTAATTCTCGGCCAAGATTCTCAATCCCTGCTCTCCCTCGCGTACCGTGACATATCGATATGAGTTGTCCGCTTGGTATGCGCGACAATAATAAGTATGAATCAACGAGGGACGCGGTGACACAACGCGAGACGCACGAGACGAATAGGTTATGTTTGTCTCCCCAGATTGTACCTCGCTGTCGAGTCACGAAGGGATCCCTTCAGGTCGTCAAACTCGCGTACGCTCATCTTGAGCGATTCCCGGCAATATCGAGAATGGAATCGTCGCGTTTGTCAAATGTTCAATGAGTTCATTCACGAGTAAACAACCTCTCGAAGCCACCTACGCGTCTAACGTACGCGCCCATTGGTCACGTGCTGCACTCTATCGTTTTTAAATCAGGCTTGTGACAAGCAAGGGTGCGTCCCGGAGCTTTCGACCCCCGATTTATATCCATAAATTTTGATTTATTCCATATATTTTACGCGTATGAATTAGTTGATGTAAGTTGTTTCTCGATAAATGAGCAACGAAAAGACTTTAATATATTAAATAAATTTAAATGAAAAATAGGTTAATGAAAGCTAAATGCAAGAATTAAAGCACAAATTAATTTTTTAAAATCTTTTTCTAGTTGTCAAATATTTCAGTTCTTTTTTTCTTTAATTTTTATTGAAGATGATCCAAAAAAGAATCAAAATGTTTAACAAATATTTTAAAGATATTTTAAATTTTCAAAAAATTAATTAATTTGCGCTTTAATTATTGCGTTTGATGCTCATTAGCTCATGTCTTATTTAAATTTAGGTTTTTATATCATCCGTAAAAAATGTCAAAGAGAACCATCTGCTACTTTGGTTAAAAAATAGATAAAAATATATGTGTGATTCTGCGATTCTCTGCGGTTCCCCTTAATTTACGGCACTGTGTTATTTCATAGGTGCGGCTACACTTTTATGTTATGCACTGGCTGTGATATAAAATCCGATTGAATGGGATTCGCGTCTGGGTAACTATACATCCGCTGAAGTGGGAAATAGGACAATTGTCTATGATAAAGAAGAGAGAGGAGAGCGAAATAAGAATAAATAATAAAAGCTCTCGGAAAGCCTGTTGCTTTTAATTATATTTTCCGTATTTCTTTCGCACAATTCTTTTCTTTTTTCTTTAAATTATATACATATACTATATTCTATATTATACATATATTTTCCTATTCGAAATGTAATAAATATGGTATATTTATTTCACGTTAAAAATGTGAAAGTAGCTAATATATAATTTTGTGCAATTTTTTTAAACAAAAACAAACTTGTCATTCTTTAACTCTCACTTTCTACAATATTGAAACATGCAGTGTGTTTTGAAATAATATTAAAATCTTTTCTAAAATCATAAAGATAATTTTAATAATACTATTTTGAGACAGGAAATTAATAGAAAGAGAAATAATATTAGGAAAATACATAGAGATAAAGAAATCATACTAAAATCTTTATAAAATTATAAAGGCAATTTTAACAATATTACTTTGAAATAAAAAACGAAAAAATAGTAGCGAGGAAATTTATTAATTATTACTTATTACTTATTAATTATTACTTATTATTTATTACTTATGTTTAATAAATTTGCAAGACAGCAGATTTTTTTTAATTGACCAATTTATAAAGCTCCTGCTCGCATTTATTCTTGTTTAAATAATGCTACGATAAAATTGAAAGATGTTACCCGATCGAAACGATTGTTCGTTCGTACTTAGATAATTGTAGGTTGTATAATGCCCAAGGTCAAGCTAACTAGAAATATTTCGCAATTAGTTTCGCAGATTACATTTTGATAGTATAATTATCACAACCTCGCGAGGCGAAAAACTCTTGTGTATCGATCTTCGAGAGATCAGGCGGCTTTCATCGACGAAATTCTTCGTCCGTTTTCGATACTTTCTATCTTAAAAATATTGCGTTAATTAATTGCAAAAGATTGTTCTGCGGTAAATATAATTAAGAAAATAAACGAAATAGAACACGGCAGTAAATCTTAAAAGTGACTTATATTATCTCCTTCCTACATAACTTGAATATCGTATAATGGCGCCATATTTCATCCCTTATATCGACAAAGTGTCATCCGTGTTTTAAAATTCTACTGTTAACTGAATTTTAGGTCAATCGTTATAGATCGATACGATATTTCCATGTACTCTGTAATAACACAAGAGTGCGACGAAGTAGCTTAATACAGTTTAAGTGTCGGAGAACTCATTTGCATCGCGATTATAATATTCTTATGCAAATAATACTCGATTCGCGGCCAATTACACCTCGTGTCCGTCTATATAAATGTGTTTATATAAATGTCTTTCATCAATCCATCTCTTGCAATCTTTTTATTAATAAATTATACAATTTTATTATAGATGTAAAATTTCGAGACACAATGTTGTTTTTACTATCAAAATATTTACTATCAAAATTTGATATGTAACTAATTATAGCTTTATTCTTTTTAAATTAAAATATTTTTGCTTTTTTCCATAAATATTTAAATAATATTACATATTTTTTCGTATAAAAAGATCTCTTATCAATTTAATAATAATTATACAGAGTGATTGTAATATGAATCAGGAAATAAAATTCTTCCATTCGTTTTTTATATGTTTGAATAATCTTTAACAATTTTGCGTATGTCAAACCTATTTCAACAGTAGATATAAATGTATAGATAAAAAAATACAATCTTTTAATAAAATTTAGAATAATTAAAATGGCTGTATTTTATATAATTTATACACTTTACACTCTATATGAGCGCTTGTAAAATTTAAATTAATCGAGTACATTACCATTGACATAACACTGACATTCCCACTGAAAGAAGTAGTCTAGCGTTCATTCTAGCGTTCGTTCGTACATAAATAATTGCAGGTTGCATAATGTCCAAGGTCATAACTAGAAATATTTCGCAATTAGTTTCTCAGATTACATTTTGATAAGTATAATTATCACAATCTAGCGACGACAAAAAACTCTTGTGTACGACGTTGTAATAATGATGACTATTCTCTTCACATGTGTATACACGTGAGGAAGAATTTTCCATCGAACAATAAAAGCACAGGATCAAAGAGCGCAGGTCTCTTACGGCCGACGATGTCGACCGCGAACCAAGAAAGTGAACCTGCCAAGTACGGGTGGTGGGCGGTAGGCCTGTGAAAGGTAAGGTAAGGGTGAAACATAGGGAGTCACGCGAGGCAACCCCCGTGAAACGGAGGCGGTTCGAGAAACGTTCCCTTAGCGTGTGGTGGATTAGTCAGTCCTGCAGGATGAGGCGCGCGACGTGGTTGCTTTTCGCGTCGGTTTTGCTTCTCGTCCAGAGGATCCATGTTATCCGCGCTCAGAGGACCCATGCTCGACAGGGTTCCAATCGCGAGACCACGACGACTGTTACGATACCGGGCCAGGGAACCGTCCTCGGCAAAGAGGTGCGACTTCGGCCATTTCTTTCGTTCTCGTTGGTTTAAGTTCCCATATTATTTTGCTAGGACTTGTTCATCTCTGGTGCTACTTAAAGTTGAAGGGATTTAGATCTTTAGTCGTCTTTCATACAGATGAATCAACATTATTCATTTGCACTCTTCTTTAATTTTACTTTCATATTTACTATTTCTTTTCAATCATAATCCTGGAAACAGATAAATGAAAATCTTTATAATTTATTAAAATTCGTTGAAATTTATTTAAGTCTTAATTTCATTAATCCTAAATCAACTAATGTTTCTCTTTCTAATTTCGATGTTAGAAAAAAATAAATTTCAAGTTACATATAAAATTCCTTGATTTTATTGATATGATAATACTTGATCTTCAGTTTTGGACATTTATTTATGACTCGACCGTTAGTGATTTTATGCATCATTTTATTTCTTTCATTATCCTATATACTTTTGAAATCTAGGTAACTATCGGCAATTCGATAAAAGTGACGCAGTACCTTGGCATCCCTTACGCACAACCCCCAAAAGGTGAACTTCGTTTCGCGCGACCAGTGACAGATCCTCTTCCCTCTTGGAACGAAGTGAGAAATGCAACGCAATTCGCACCGTCCTGTCAACAGGTCGAAGGTCCTCTTAAAAAGCACGAGAAACTGTACAAAGAATTGCTATCGAACATACCCGATCCAGGATTCAGCGAGGATTGCCTCTTCTTGAACATCTTCGTTCCTGACGGTACGTGTGTTACAGTCATGTCCATGTAAAGCAAATCGATAATTAAGTATGTATAAAATTTTGTAACGAAGTGTCTTTGTTTCAACATTAATTTCCTAAAAATGTGGTTTTAATAATAGTTATTAAATATATTTAATCGTAATTCACTAAAAATATGATTTTCGATTAAAAACTTTACATTTCGAGCAAGAACTCAAATATATGAAAATAAGAAAATTAGATATTATTTCTATTAATTTTCATAAAATCTATAAATAGAAAAACGAATATTCTTGATTAAGTTTATAGAAAATACCATTAACTTTTTTCACATTTTTTCTAAATAAATAATAATAATTTAGAAAATTATAAAATACAGAATTGAATTCGGAATTAAATTGTTGTCAAATTCATTAACTATGAAAGAAGTAGAAAGATTTATGAAAGTTATGATTTCCACGCAAGAGGGAAATCTTTTCATTCGATAATTCTAATCGGTAAAAAGCGAGGAGATTGGTTATTGATGACGGTCCTTGATACTGCCTATTTTTTCCTAATCTTCGAGAAAGTAAAGTAGCACACGCCACGCAACGACGGTCAACGGCGAAGTTCGTTTCCTGACGAGGCGCGAGATAACATTCACCCGCAAGTTTACCCGGAGACTGATTCCTATCGTTCGAGAAAAGGGTGGTGATTATAGAAGGGGAGGGAGGGTTTTTTTTCTCGAGAATACCGCTGCGATCAGATAAAAATGGACCGAAGCAGAAAATTAAAAACCGTTAATATCGTGCAAGGACTAGCGTCGTGCAGAGAAGATTTATCACATGTCATAACGCACGCAAAAAACCATAAAGTGGAGTTAAAATGCTCGATATGATTAACTTGGATCAAGCTTCTTGCGAATAATTCTATTGAATTATATTATTCGTACTCTAATTATATTATTCATATTAATCTAATTTATTAATATTTATTATTATTAATTTATTATTAATATTATTCTAATTAATTTTACGTATTTTACACACCTTAACGTTTTAATTACTCGTGCGTTATTTGAAATCGAGATATCTACGTAATTATGTGAAAAGCAAGCGGCAAATTCTTTTTTATTAAATCAAATATAAGTATCAAAGGAAATCGTTTTTCGGCAAATTTCCAAGAAAGTTTCTATAGCGAATCTCTGAAAATTGAAGACGTTAAAATATTGATCGAAATATAAAACATTCGTGTTCTCACATGTATTGCTTTCGCATTGCGCGTCTTATTTCTCCATTTGCCCTAGAGTCCTTAATGCAAATTTAATGAGTTACCAATGGAAAGCATACATAGGAGATACTTGGTATATACGAGCAAAAGGTTAAAGGAATGAAAAAAAAACGAATACAGGCCGTTGGCGCGGCGTCTCCCTTTCGTCCTAGAAGAAAAAAAGGAGCAAAATCACAAAACCGCGCCGACACGAAAGCTACATACGACGACGACGACGATGATCAAAAGTTGAGGGTGGTCGATATATACCAGCAGGAGTAGCAACGGAATAACTGGCGCACGCGGTGGCACGCGATCTTTCAGGGCCCGGTTTTGCGAGAGATGCCGAGATACCAGAAAGCTGGTCACGAAAGCTCTCCCTCTCGCTCTCCCGCGACCATCAGCTACAACATAAGTACCGAATCGTCACGACGTCATGAATCATTGATTCCGCGAACTTCCCGATGAGAGCTATATATCTTACGATTCTTATCGTTGCGACAAGCATCTCAAATTGCTCTGAACCGAGAAGTGACATTGAGGTGTATTCGGGACCCCCTCCGACATTAACGCGGATAGTAAGGCTCAAAGTAGCCATGCAAGCGTGCCAAGGTCGCTGTTAAGAAACGACGCGTTCGGTGGGACGATAATACGGGACGAGACCATGTTCAGGAAACCGCAGATGGGGGGAGGGAACGGGGAGAATCTCGTACCGGTCCCCGTTATCGTGACAAGCTCGTTGGCTGGAAATAGAACCCCGAATGTGTAAAGGTCTGTTCGCGGTGGCTTATACGTGAATTTTCTCTCTCGATTTATACAGGGCTAAAAATTAAAAATAAAATGAAAAGAAATAAATAAATAATCCAGCGAACACAAAAAATAACAGTAGTATAATCAATGTTATCATTTCTTCAACAATGTAACTGCGAGATAACATATCTTTACATTGTTGAATAGGAGATTATAATATTGATGCTATTATTACTTTGTATTTGCTTTCAAAATAAACTGAATCGATGAAAATTACTTAGATTTTTCCCTTCTACACATCGGTTTAATAATTATCTATTTAACTCTTGATAGGTCTGGTGATTAATGAATAATTTATTAACGAATAATCTGCGTAGGCCGAACAAACGAGCGATGGCCGGTGATGGTTTGGTTTCACGGCGGAGACTTCAATACCGGAACTCCGGCGATTTGGGACGCTTCCATATTCGTTATGAAACAAAAGGTATGATGTAACGATTACGAATGATAATATCTACAAAAATGCGAACGGAAACACGATGGTTTCGATCGTACATATATTAATAGATAGTGAAAATTAATGTAACTCGGTTAATAATGCAATCGATGTCGATATAATCATGATGTATCGCGAAATAACATATATTTTTCATGAGTAGTCATCAATCGAAATCCGAAACGTTTACGAACCGACAGAAAATCGAAGGGAATCGGGTCAGACCTGCCTTTTATCTCGCGTGCCATCATTTCTAGAATAGAACCGCACCCTTTGATATTCGCTCGTGATACATCATTAATCGGACTCTTCGGTCGTAACACATACTCCCAACGAAATGTAAATATAATGCGGTACCGCATTTTTTATAACTCGAGAAACAATTCGTGGAGACGAATTAATTGCCCCCCACGAAACTTTCGAGTGATAACGATCGCGCTTCGAGAGATTTTATCGCACACGCAAAAAAGAAAGAATCCAAAGTTCACACAATTAAACGAGGACGACTTTTGCGGTCGGCAGGTGCTGGTGGTGACGGTGGCGTATCGATTAAACATCCTGGGATTCTTCACGACGACAGACTCCGAGGCGCCCGGCAATTACGGTATATTTGATCAAATCGCCGCCCTCGACTGGGTGAAACGAAAAATCAAGCACTTTAACGGCTCGCCCAGCAACATCGTCATCTATGGCCACAGTTCGGGCGCGATAAGCGTGGGTCTGCACATGCTGAGTCCGCTCAGCAGGGGAAAGTTCAACAAAGCGATCGCCATGAGCGGCGACGCCATCAATTCCGTCCGTTCGCCGGAAATGGAAGTTCCGGTGGTGAACTTCGTAGCCGACAAGTTCGGGTGTAACCGACAACCGACCAGCGCGCTGATGGAGTGCTTGCGCCGACTCGACGCCGATCATATTGTCAAGCATACCTCCAGCATCGAGAGCTGGGGTCCGATCGTCGACGCCGAGACCAACAACGGGACGGATCCTTTCCTTCCGCAACACCCGAAAGATATCTTGGATAGCGGTAATTGTAAAAACGACTCAATAATGTTTAAAGATGATAGTGTTTCAAAGTCGAAACATACATATAAAAAATATTTCCCAAGTATATATTCTCCAAATCTATCTGCATTTTTTAAATTCAGATATAAAGTCTCTTTAACTTCTATTGCAATCCGGATATAATAATTTCTCTTTAATGATTATAATATTTTTTGACCTCAGGTAATTTCAATGCAGTACCGCTGATCGTCGGTTACACGAAGAATGAGCAAGTTCTGGCGATTATAGAGTCCACGAGAGAATATGGAGGGGATTTGGAGAACGGACTATCTCCGGAAAGGTTCGAGACAATGATCTTAGACGAGTTCTCATCAGCGGTGCCGTTTATGGATGAGAATAGCACTTGCACATCAAAGCCAGAAATGGTGACGAATGCGGTGCTCTTCTTCTACAAACCATATCCATCCACGAGAAATACGACGGTGTTTCGCGACCGATACTTGGATCTGCAAACAGAAAGAACTTTCGGAGCTGGTCTGACTATGTTGGCCGGCCAGGTGGCGAAACGGGCGACGACTTTTGTCTATCGATTCGACTACCGTGCCAAGACGCAATCGGTCACGAAAGAAATACCGGAATGGGCGGGCGTGCCACATATGTTCGAATTACCGTTTGTCTGGGGTTTACCGTTTCAGATGAGCAGTCCGCAGATGCAATGGTTGCCTAATGATAGGAAGACATCAGACACGATGATGACGATGATGGCGACATTTGCCAAGACTGGCGACCCTTCCATCACAGGTGGGACTGGACCATCGGTCAAGTGGGAGTCCTTCACGCAGGACGATCCAAAAATCCTAATTATTGACAAGAACATAGAAATGGGCGAGCCAAATGCGGTTGATCACAAGGCGCTTGCGTTCTGGAACGATTATTATCCGCAAGTCGTGGAAGAGGCGACGACCTGTTGCAATGTCACGAACACAGCACGAAGATTATTTTCGTACAGTATATATCTCAGCGGCATGACGACTACGATGGCATTATATCTCTTCTGGTTCTAGCTACGAGCACACAGCAAATACTTAAATAAACAAAAAAACATGTTGCGCTCGCTGTTATATTTTTTTAATAGACCAAAGAACCGACGGCATCGTCGAATTTTTCCAATTTTGTAACGAGATCTCTCTTCCTTCCCGACTCTTTACTTCTTCTAAAGCAAACGCAATAACAATCTTGTTATACTTTGTGTAGAATATATATCTTGCGCGAATAGATTCTTTATTCGCGATAACTGCTGACGTTATAATATTAGACGCATTAATCGCGTTGCAAAATTTTCGTACAGATATATTGTGATATTGTAATCGTTAAATTAATTTTTCTATGTTCGCATTTTTTGACACGCATCACCAGATTACATTATAAATATATCACAAAGTTATTTTATTCCGCTCTCATTACCCTATTTTATGTAAATTTATACGAAACAAGAAAAAGAATTCTACAGACTAATCACGCGACATGTTAGAAAATGATTTACAAACATGATAACGGACAAGAGGAGAAAGAGGGGGGGGGGGTGGCTCGGAATGAAATAAGATCCAGGTTACATTATAAGAGTAGGAAACTTGGGTCCTTTTCTTTAACATTCATTGATTTTTTTTTATTATTTGCCTTAATACGGAGAGATATAGAAAAACATACTTTGTTTGAGAAACGAACAGTTTGATAACTTATGAATATTTTGATGATCCCGATAATAATTAATAATTAATATTAATAATAATAATAGCAATAATCATGTTCATGTGTGTACCATCTATGTATAATTATTATATTATATAAGAGAGAGAGAGGTGCGCGGCGAGCGATGCATGGGGGCTGGTGACCTGCGCACGCGCACGTCCACAAACATTTTTTTTCTCTTTCTTTCTCCTAAATATAATATTAATTAATCATTTCTTTTCTTCATTTATTCATGCAAAACTCCTACAATGATAACCGCGATGTTGCGGGGTCTCGTATCCCTACTTTGTGCGCCATTGTTTACGCGTGCACACGAGCCACCCCGGAACCAACGTATATACAATATCCTCTTTCTCGCTTATCGCTGTGTTCCTTCCTTTCTATTATCTTGTATTCCTTCGTTCTTCATTCCGGTGCATTACCTTGTGCCCTCATTCCCCTGTCATTTTACAACCGTCTGGATTTCGATATCTTAAACTCGCATTCTCTACTGTCACTTAATATTCTGTCAGCCCCCTTCTCCTCTTTTGTCATTAGTATATTTCTTGATTTATAACCATTCCAATCTTTTTTTTTTTAACCACTGGTATCTTCGGATTTTTATGTAGGAGAGTATGGGCTCCGCCATATCTACCTTATAAAAGTAGGCACAGCGATTTCTTTTTCTGCTTCATCTTTTTCTCTGGCGATTTCTTATTTATTTGCCGCACCAGGTCGTAGAAAATCTAGAAGCAAAAGGCGATGATCAGTAGAGTGATGACGAGTAGTGTTGCAAAAGTTATCGGCTAGAACTCGATTATTCAATATTGTACAAAAATTTCTTAAGCTAATTAATCATTTATAAAAGATATTAAGTAAAAATTAAAATGATGTATAAAGAAAAATAAACGGATCGATAATCACAACTCACATCGCGAACATTAATTTTAGCTTTGGCAGAGGTCTCCATAAACACACAATTGAATTGCCGGGCAAGATTGACACCCTGATCCTTTCCTACTACCCTTTCGTCTTCCAGGTCGCACTTGTTGCCTACTAGCACCATTGGTACGTCATCTGTGTCCTTTACTCGTAAGATCTGTTCTCTGAGATCCTGTAGATCGTTGAAGGTCGATTGTGCTGTTATCGAATATACTAATACGAAGCCCTGCCCATTTTTCATATAAAGGTCCCTCATGGCTGTGAATTGTTCCTGCAAATAAATTAAAGGTTATTCACAAAATATAATTTATATCGTTACAATAATAAAATGAAGAAAAAAATTATACAAGATGTATTGAAAAAAAGCAACATGCTCTATGCTATTTTATTGAAACTTTTATTCACATCTCGTGAAAATAAAAAGGCGTACAATAAAAAATAGAAGATATAAAATGTAAAACATTACATGTATAAACAAAAAATCTAAATTTAACTTTAACCAGCATTTCAAATAACATGAAATATATCATATGTCAGAGTACTTACTGTGCCGGCTGTGTCTAGGATTTCTAACATACATTGTTGACCGTCGACCTCGACTTGTTTACGGTAACTGTCTTCGATCGTCGGATCGTACTTCTCTACAAAGATCTCTTGTACGAATTGGACAGTGAGGGCGGACTTGCCTACACCTCCACTGCCCAGCACCACTATTTTATATTCACGCATCTCCTTGCCCTATCAACTACCTGTGGGCCTGGTCACAGTCGAAGGGTCACCGAATCCGCCACGTTTTGCTTCGATTTGCCTTCAGTGAGACTGATCTGAAACAATAACATGCAACATCTATTTAGAGAGACTATCATACGACCAGTTAATTTTAATGACACACCTCTTTCAGAACGAGTCAGCTTTTATGACTCAATTCTTTTTATACGTATATACCATGATATATGATGACTTCACGCAAAGTAAAGTGAAAGCCATAATTAACAATTTCCAAGTATAAGATAAATTGTGAAAAATTTATTTTAGAAATTATTTATATTGTGAAATTTATTTTAGAAATCCTTTATATTATGAAATTTATTTTAGAAATCATTTATATTGTGAAATTTATTTTAGAAATTACCAAAAAAGCTGACTTTTTAGGAAAAAAAAAATATAATTAGGTAAAATAAGATTCTTCAATATATTTAATATATCATTGTCAGGTGTACCTTCAATATATCTGGTAAATTTCTATTTCTATTTTTCTATCTGATCTTCGCCAAAGCATGAGATTCATTTGGTCCCTATATATATATATATATATATATATATATATATACGTCTACACCCAACAAAGTCACGTTACTCCCGCTGCGTTGTTCACTGCAGCATTGTGCTACAGAGAGAGCAAAAGGGAAAACGCAAATACCATGACGGCATTCCAATTGGCAAGCAATAGCATCATGGCAACGTGCCGCGGCCAATCGGCGGCGGCTGCGAAATTCTTTACGCCAATCCGTCATTGATTTTACCTTTATGAATGAATTTGTGTGATGGAAGATGCCATTATCGGACTTTTGTTGACTCTCGTTGCGCTTTATAAAAAGTTACCTCGGAAACAAATGGGCGTGTACGTAACTACAATATACAATTACATATTTAAAAAATTATGACAATAATAGATTTTTATATAATCTTATATATCATGTTAAAATTTCTAGCTTTTTTAAAATAATTTAGAAAAAATTTTCTTGGCATTTTTTTTTTCAATTCAATATTTCGATGCATTGAATGATGTTAAGATTTCATATTTATTTTTTATTGTTGTGTTTAGAAAGAAATAGAATTAAATTTTATTGATTATATTGTTGATTTTATATTTATTTTTTATTATTGTGTTTAGAAAGAAATAGAATTAAATTTTGTTGATTATATTGTCATAATAAATGTAAAACAATTTTTCGTAAATAGTTAATGAAAGGTAATGATATTTTGAAGTTTTATACGAGGTGCAATTTTAATCAACCTGTGTACGACGGTGAATTTTTTTAACAATTTCGCTGAAATGGTTTAAAGGAAATTTATTAACCTATTATTTTTATCTTATGAACACGAATTATATATATACAATTGCAAGACAACAGTAGATTTTAAATTTAGTTGTTGAAAATGAATAATTTCTTTAGAACTATTGCATAAATACAATTCCAAAATTTCTTGATATTTCTCAATTTTTCCAACTTTATGAAATAATCTATAATAATTTTTGAAAATGCATACGAACCAAAGTAAAGCGAAAGAAAATAAAAGACTCGTGCGTGAAAGGAAATAACTATTTTCTTTTACAGGTGTATATCTTTCTTAAGAATACCTCTCAAGTTTTTTTCTAGTTGATTTTCCGCGGAATACTTCGATCATTGAATTTCCCAACTTCTTTTATCCTTGCCCCATGTTGCTTTTATAAGTTCAAACAATCTACTTGTAAGAACGACAGTGATATTGAGTCAATCTTGATTGTAATATTCCGTGAAATTGTAACGCAAGATTCTGCGAGAAAAAGAGAGACACGTATCGCGTGTCCGTAGTTTCATTATAATGTGTTTACAGTTACAATTTCATTACGATATACCATGCTGTATGTGATGCAATTAAGTTCACCGTGAACTAAATGGATCGTATGGTCATACACGGGCAACAAGTTGAGGTTCGAAGGAGAGGACCGATCACTGGTGGAGAACCTCTAAACGGATCGAACTTTTGGCGTAGCTCCAAAACATCTCTGGCTTCGAAAAAGTGTTATACATAAAGCCGCAAGCGTGCACGTGTCCCACACATACACACACACATAAACAGACACAGAGAGAGAGAGAGAGAGAGAGAGAGAGAGAGAGAGAGAGAGAGAGAGAGAGAGAGAGAGAGAGAGAGAGAGAGAGAGAGAGAGAGAGAGAGAGGAAAAACGAAAGCACCCCTGACCTAGTTATTAGACTTTGCCGTGGGACAGTGCGGTTCCATAAATCTCCACGCCTTTTGTCCGAGATTTAAAGCTCGCTGATAGAAACCACGAATCGGGAGCAGCCTCCCTCGCAAAGAGACGTATGTATGTCTTTTTCGCGACAGGGAAACCGTTCATTTCTCACTTTTATATCTCTCGACGGATAAAGATGGATAACGGTGTGATTTGTCAATACTTAAATTGCCACGTGATATATAATGTACAAGCAAAAATGTAGAATCTGTGGATGAAATCGATATATATATAAAATCCGAGATTAAATCTCGATGAAACATCTATAATACTGGTCAAAAATATATCACCTTTATGTATTTTGAGAATAATTTAATTCAAAGTGCATATATTCTATCTAGTCAAATATGTTTTATTTACCAAGTATGTAAATTACTGAATAATAATAATAACAATAAATTTTTCATTCAATAATGAAAACAGCAACTTAAGAAAAATTGATTAAATGTAGAGTGTCACGGCAATCCCCCCCCCCCCCAAAACTCTTGTAGTTTACCTCGAGAGCTTTCAAAACACTATAATAAAGTATTTTTTTATCGAGTACTTTTCGAGTAATGAGGCTTGAAATAATTTCTTAATTTTTACGTAAACCACAAAATATCTAGTAAAATATTCATTTTTCGATTACCTTATCTTAATACTTTTATGTACAAAATATAATGAGAGGAATCAATTGGTGTAAAGAAAAGACATAATTGTTCCAAAGAAAAAATATGTAATTGTTAATTGCAAATTACATATTTTTTCTTCGAAACAATTATACACTGAAAAAAAACTTGGTTGAAAAAGATAAAATTTGTTTTGCCCAACTAAATATATTGTCCGATATGTTCAAATAAATATAACTAAAATATTCCGAAATAATTTGTTGATAAACAAAGCTTATTCAAATCATCAAAACAGAGAGTTCACTACAACGATGTACAGTTACTACAACAGAATATTTTTTTGGTAAATTTTCAATCAAATTTTTTTTCAGTATGTGTTTTCTTTACATTAATTGATTTCTCTCATTATTTTGTACATAAAAGTATTAAGGTAAAATAATCGAAAAATGAATATTTTACTAGATAGTTTATATACTTTGAATTAAGTTATCCTCAAAAAACATAAAGGTGATATATTTTTAGCCGATTCTGTATATATATGACAGTAATTTCTATGTCTATTTGCATACTTTTTTATTTTATACGTTGTTTGTAAGAGAGAAAATTAAATTCGAAGAAATTAATCGATTTGTAACTCGATTCTGAATTTCTAACTTTGGCAAAACTTTTATCGCCTTCTCGCATATAAATGACAGCGAGGAAATGTCAGATGATGTTTTTAACCGTCCACCTAATGTATATTTATTGAGCATCTGGTTGTTATTTCTCCCGATGCTTTGGAATCCAGTGCGAGGTTCTTCGACATCGATCTCGAGGCGCGAGAGCTGGTCGAGTGAACTTTGGTCAACCTTTGTCTTGGACTTTAATTAAGCGTATTACTGCCAAGATGACAATTGTCGTGGCAATTAAAGGCACTAAACGTTCACTCAGACTAAAAAGCGAGATTCTTCGCAAAATTTCTCACTTTTTTTCTATTAAAAATGTTCAATTTGCGACAATGGATGCTGCAATTATCTCATTGTTAGAATTTTTGTTACATTTCATTAAAATCAAGATTATCAAGTTCTTTAAGTTTTCCAAGTTTTTCAGAAAATGAAATTTCACCCTTGATCTTCACCGCCAATTGAAGATGGATTTATTTTCGAAACGATGGGGATAACGCACATGAACTTGAAACTAACGATAAACTCGTGAAATAATCCTGCAAGTAATTTTTATAATCCTACGTAATCTCTATTGTTTAAAAATATCAACTCAAAACGGTTCGTGTCAAGGTAAGCTTTTAAATTTTATTAATATTCCCGGTTGTATGAATTTTATCGTTGATTTATTTCCTAACTTTAACCAATTCCATTAGAATTTTTTTATATTTCATTAATATCAAGATTATCATGTTTTTTAAGTTTCCCTAGTTTCTCAGAAAATAAAATTTCATCCTTGATCTTCACCGCCAATTGAAGATGGATTTATTTTCGAAACGATGGGGATAGCACATGAACTTGAAACTAATGATAAACTTGTGAAATAATCCTGCAAGTAATTTTTATAATCCTACGTAATCTCTATTGTTTAAAAATATCAACTCAAAACGGTTCGTGTCAAGGTAAGCTTTTCAATTTTATTGATATTCCCGGTTGTATGAATTTTATCGTTGATTTATTTCTTAACTTCAACCAATTCCACCGTCTCTCTCCGCGTCTCCTCCATCGAGATGAAACGAAATCGATTCAATCTCGCGCGTATGATTTGCAATTTACGAGATTCCCTATCAAACAACTTCGTGCAAGCAGTTCGCTAAATGCCGTAGCCTTAGATCGTATATCAATTCGAAAACTCGTTGCAAAGCAATAGCTTTGATGCAGCATATATATATACGATGGTACAGCCGACACACCCACACATCGACGAAAGATGGAAGACACATTGTATCTCGGACGCGCGTCAAGGACCGTCTGTCCCGTCCGTCCGTCCGTCCGTGTGTGTGTGTATATGTGTGTGTGTGTGTGTTGTATTGTATCGCTCACGCACACATACGTACGCCACATGTATCGACGTGCTGCCAATCACTTTGACCTGTAAATACGTTATCTGCTCCAGCGACTGCCGATACACTTGATTGCACTCGGTCACCTCTACCGACGTCGAGTCACTTCCCAACCGGGTCTTTACTCCTCGAAGGCGAAACATTGTCATCAACGTG